AAGAAGAGCTGGAAGAGCATCCATGAAGTCAAAACAAAAGGGAGAGCATAACATGTTTTAGCAAACCAGCGCTGGAGTGCGTCAAAGTTCCCTGCGTGGGGAAGCGCAGATACAGAAGGTGCCCCCATTGCTCATTCCCTCTCCCCTCCTGTGGTTTCCAGCAACTGGTATTCAGGAGAATTTCTGCCTCCAGCTGCTAGTAGCCATCGATAGCCCTCTCCTCTAAGGACCTGTCTAATGCTCTTTTAAAGCCATCAAAGTTTCGAGGCCTCTGCTGCCTCTTGTGGGAACACGTTCCATAGTTTAACAATGTGCTCCATGAAAAAGTACTATCTTCTATCTTCCTTGAATCTAGTGTTATATGGGGCGGGAGCAGTGCTGGATTTAGGTATAAACTAAATGTGGGTGGCACGGGTGGCGCTGTGAGTTAAACCACAGAGCCTAGGACTTGCCGATCAGAAGGTCGGCAGTTCGAATCCCCGCGATGGGATGAGCTCCCGTTGCTCAGTCCCTGCTCCTGCCAACCTAGCAGTTCAAAAGCACGTCAAAATGCAAGTAGATAAATAGGTACCGCTCCAGCGGGAAGGTAAATGGCGTTCCCATGTGCTGCTCTGGTTCGCCAGAAGTGGCTTAGTCATGCTGGCCACATGACCCAGAAGCTGTACGCTGGCTCCCTCGGCCAATAAAGTGAGATGAGTGCCGCAACCCCAGAGTCGGTCACGACTGGACCTAATGGTCAGGGGTCCCTTTACATTTACCTTAAACAAGCTTTAGCTTAGGGCCCCACTCTCTTGCCCCCCCAAAAAAAATTTAAAAGGGGAAAAAACCTCGATATACATTTCCAAAATATAAGATAAAAAACAAATAAAATAAAACCTACACACAGCAACAGTGTTTGTGTTGTGTAGGCTCCTATGATGTAAGTCATGGGCCCCGCCTGCTAGCCTGCTCCCTAAAATATCACTGGTTTGCTCATTCGACAGGGCTGCCCTTATCAAAATCCCTTTCACTACCAACAAAGAGACATCAGGCTTAAAAGTGAGGAGAGAAAGAGGACTATAAAGCCTAATATCACTACAGTCTTGGACATAGCTGTGAACTTTCCCCCTTTTTTAAGGGAAATTCCCTTATTCCGAATAGGATTCCTCGCATGAAAAGGGAAAAGTTGACAGCTATGGTCTTGGAGAGTCTCCCCCGTTTATTTAGGACTGCAGTGAGATCAGGCTGAACAGGAAGGAGGGGAAGCCTTTGGGAGCCCCCACCTCTCTCTTTAAGAGCTCAGCAAGCTTGGGCTTCACAGGGAAGGGAAGAAACTTCTCCCTCCTTTTTTAGTGCTCAGAAGGATCGCCCCCTCTCCTGAAGGAATGGGCAATTCCACTTAGTACAGTGGTACCTCAGGTTACATACGCTTCAGGTTACAGACTCTGCTAACCCAGAAATAGTGCTTCAGGTTAAGAACTTTGCTTCAGAATAAGAACAGAAATTGTGCTCCAGCAGCGTGGTGGCAGCAGGAGGCCCCATTAGCTAAAGTGGTGCTTCAGGTTAAGAACAGTTTCAGGTTAAGTGCGGACCTCCAGAACGAATTAAGTACTTAACCCGAGGTACCACTGTACTGAGTTTTGGCTCGCCAAAGAGCTCTCTGCCAGGAGTGCCATGGCTCAGCCCAACTGAACGGGATGTTCTGCGTTGATACGAAGGGGGTGCCATCCTGCTTAGCAACGGGTCCCTGGTTTCTGCATTTCTTCAGAGGATCCTGACAACTAGGCCCATGCTCTGAGGGCTGTGCAAAGTAGCTTTGGAAAGCCATGTCCTATCAGTCACGCCTCACCCCTTACCTGCATGTGAGAATGGCCTCATGGATCAAAAGGGGGAAGACTTGGGGAGGGGGCAAGATGTGCTCAGAGGTCAGACATTCCCCACCCCAAAATTTCACCTCAGGAACTGATGGACTCTTACTTTGCCTCACAATAGTTTTGAAATGTGCTGGGTTTTTGACATCCGGGAGCCAAAACGTTCCAAAAGAGAGGCGTTCGGGAGGTGAGGTTTGACTGTAATATGTTGCCGTCCGCATGAAATCCTCCCCATCCTATTGTTGTCCTGTGTCTTTACCCCTTTGAATGCAGGGTTTTCCCATCCTTTGGAAGTCCAAAAGGGGCATAATCTTTGTACTTAGGACATGACTGAGTGCTAGCAATAGGAGGAAGTGCAGGGGCTGGGCCCCAGAACAACTCCCCCCCCCCCATCATTGATTCTTGTTTCTTTTCTTATCAAGGCAAAATCCTACGTGTCTTTGCTTTTCGAAAGATCTCCAAGGGTACAAGGGGATCCCTCAGCTCCATTCTAGCAAGCGGGACAGTTCTTGAGTTTTGTGGTTACAAAACTGTTATGTATTGAAGTTCTCACCCTGGCCACCGGGGGTATTGTGTATATAGTTTTCACTCAGGTCCATGTAAGTTAATTTAGGTGGGAAACCCTGGGTTATTGGTGTTAGGATGTTGACAGCCAGCTGCCTATAAAAGCAGGCCGGCTGAGCTGTTTGCAGTTCAGTTCAGTTCCAGCTTCCTTTTAAGAACCACTTGGAGAAATCTCTGTGTCAACTGCTATGTCCACCCACAACTTAATAAAATCAATAGTCAGCCAGTCTCCTGAAAATGCCATGGGGCCTGTTATGTATTCAGTGGTCTGTGTTTGCCTGAGCTTGAGTCTGGACTAAGGATTCTGAGCTCCTGTGTTCTGATTCGATACATGATATCCAATCACAGAACATTTCATGATTTGGGCTTCTGCCATTGGCCCTTAAACTCTGAGTCATGATTCGCAGCTTGGAAGTTTAGACAGCCAATCACGTTGGGAGTGGGAGTGGCCCAGGCCTTCAGAAATGTCTATAAGCAGTTGCGTTGACCCTCTTGTCCAGTTCTGTTAGTTCAGTAAAGGTTCTTGCTGCTATCAGTGTGTCTTGCCTCACAGGAACCCACCTACACTCCAGGGCCCACTGTTGCTTTGCAAATAACCCTACAAGTTATTAGCCCCCAACAATTCGCTTGCTCGCCCTGACCTCATTAAGCAGAGAAGTACACTGAATGGTTATTCTGTGACCTCCTCCTGCAAGGTTCTCTCCAAGAAAGAGCTTCTACCAGCTAACCTTCCTAGGACCTCAGCCCGCAAAGCTCACCAGTTACCAGTAACCAGAAGGATCCTGGACCCAGTCGCTGCTTTGTTTCTCAAACACTGTTTTTTATAAGCGACCCAAATGAGCCAGCATACTATTTTCCGTACCCAAAGTGGATTTCAGGACACCAGGATAACCAAGCAGACAAAAAAAATAAAAGTTCAAATCTTTATTTCCTAACCAAATGTTACACAACTTAGGATGTTTTCTTCCTTGTGGGGAGAAACCCTGAAAAGGGGGGATGGAATTCCCCTACTTAGCCCAATCCACACGAAATACACTAGGGGCAGAGGGTGTACTCACACAAAAGAACTGGGCTACGGATCCTTACAATATAACAAGCAAAAATTGGGAATGCCCTAGAGAAGGAGGTGCCTCTTTGGATTTCTGCTGTTTAAGGTCTTCCCTGGATTGCTGCCCTTTCTTCACATTGCAATCCTTCTCCAAATTGGTCTTCCCTTCCCATGGAAGGGAATCCTTCTCCTTCAAATTGCCTTCTTCTCCCCAAATTCCTTCTCCAAAAATGGGCCTTAATACGACACATGGAATGAAAAATAAAGCTCTATCACACAGGATCTTTTTTTTAAAAAAATGATGATGATGATGATGATGATTTATTAACTGTAGTTACATCCATACATCAAAGACATTTTATAGTCTGTAAATCAAACTCATCAAAATAAAAATTCCAACAAAGAAGCATATATCTTCATAAATTTGACTTCCCGTCCTTCTCAACATCTTTTCACTCTAATAAACCTATTACCTAAATTTATCAGGAAAATCATAATAAATTATTAATATGAATCTATGTATATATATCTATTTTAACCCATTTAACCCTTATTTACAGAGCTTATTCAAAGGCTGCTACAGAATTCGGATTGCAACACTTATTTTTTAAGTAACTCTTAGAGGTTCCCAGTTACAAATGAACTCCTGTTTTTGCTTATCTTTAATCTTTTCCAAGAGATTCTCTATCACACAGGATCTTAGAACGTTGTCCCGAAACAAAGTTTGTCCTCAATACTGTCCTCTTCACATATATGGGGACATCCACCACCTGCACAGGCTCAAAGTTTCCACATATTCAAGTAGCAAAAGTCCACATCAGCGGTGAATGTGAATTGCCGCAAGCCATCTTGATTGCTTCTTAGCCCTCTCTAAGCAACATACAAACACGTACACTAATGTAATTATTCTGTTCTAGTTGGCAAGCTGCTACGAAGGTCACTTTGGTTTGACATCAAGGTTACTAATAAAGAAATAGAGGTGATATATATAGAGAGATGGAGAGAGAGCACAATTACCGTATGTTTTGCTCTATAAGACTCAATTTTTCCCTCCTAAAAGGTAAGGGGAAATTTGTGTGCGTCTTATGGAGCGAATGCAGGCTGCGCAGCTATCCCAGAAGCCAGAACAGCAAGAGGGATTGCTGCTTTCACTGCGCAGTGATCCCTCTTGCTGTTCTGGCTTCTGAGATTCAGAATATTTTTTTTCTTGTTTTCCTCCTCCAAAAACTAGGTGCGTCTTGTGGTCTGGTGCGTCTTATAGAGTAAAAAATACGGTATATAAATTGTGTGTGTGTCATAAGCGCAATTGTCTCTAAAAACATTAACTTGCCAAATATGCAGATTTCCCTGAGTGCTTCTGCTTTGTATGGGTATTGGCTTATGTGACACAGTCCTTCCCTTTTGAAAAACAAGAGACTGATTGCCAATGCAACTGTGTTCTGGATAGATGCTTCTAATCAATTTTACATGTGTCAGTGAGTGATGTTTTGGTGGATCATCCAGTCAGTCAGTCCTACAGAATAAAACTCAGGCATATTTTAGCTGTCACATCCGTCCATATTCAGCCTTAGCGTCTGTTTCAGAAGCTGCCACCTGGGGTCATCTGGGAAGTGATCCTCAATAAACAGAGCAGGATGGGTAAGGAAGTAAAACTCACTGTATCTGCAAAAGAAGACCGTGGAATCATGCAGTCTTTCATAATGTTTCTGATATCAGAACCAGGGTGAAGCAGGCAAAGCGGTCGAAGAATGAGTGTGGAATATTTACATGCCCCATTCAGATTTCAAGTAGAACTCTAATTTAGCATAAGGGATGCGGGTGGCACTGTGGTCTAAACCACTGAGCCTCTTGGGCTTGCCGATCAGAAGGTCGGCTGTTTGAATCCCCGCGACGGGGTAAGTTCCCATTGCTCGGTCCCTGCTCCTGCCAACCTAGCAGTTCAAAAGCATGCCAAAAAGTGCAAGTAGATAAATAGGTACCGCTGCAGTGGGAAGGTAAACGGCGTTTCCATGCGCTGCTCTGGTTCACCAGAAGCGGCTTAGTCATGCTGGCCACATGACCCGGAAGCTGTACACCGGCTCCCTCGGCCAATAAAGCGAGATGAGCGCCGCAACCCCAGATTCGGTCACAACTGGACGTAATGGTCAGGGGTCCCTTCACCTTTACCTATAATTTAGCATGTTGAGAATGAGCCGTAGCGGGCCTCAGGCTCACACTCTTCCCACCCCCCTCCATCCCTGCCCACCTGCAAAGGGTTTGGAAACGACCTCCTGGTTTAGATTAACCAAAGTTTGTTGTCTCACCCAAATCCGACAAACAGCGCTTTATGTTAACTATGGCTTGACAAGCCATCTTCGAGCTATCGTTTAGCTAGCTAGCTTGTTTAAACAAACCATGGCTAACATTAGCCACAGTTAAAGGTCTGTATGACCCTTCCTTGATCTAATTCCCTCTAGACCAGCCTTTCTCAACCTGTGGGTCCCCAGATGTTGTTGAACTACAACTCCCATCACCCCTAGCTAGCAAGGCCAGAGCTCAGGGATGATGGGAGTTGCAGTCCAACAACATCTGGAGACCCACAGGTTGAGAACCGCTGCTCTAGATGTTGCCGAACTCTAAATCCCATCAAACCCAGCTAGGGGCAGTGGGAGTTGTAGTCCAACACAGCACTAGGTTGACAAACAACAACCCAGCTTCCAGGATCACCAGGGTAAATGTAACACTCTAGAACCACTCAAGAGGATAAATGGATGGTTGGAGGAGTTTACATAATCTCCCTGCCACCGTGACACGCCATGCCAATGGCTTAATTCTAGAGGCATATAATAATTCATAATAATTCTAGCTGGAATATAATAGTCAGCCCTGTGGCTGTCAAATCACCAAGTCTGAGATGTAGTCTAAGGGGGGTGGGGAAAGTTCTCTAGAAGCAACGGAATTGAGCTATGCTTTTGTTGTGTCCCACACTGGTGAGAGCCAGTGTGGTGTAGTGGTTAAGAGCGATAGACTTGTAATCTTGGGAACCGGGTTCCGCTCCTCCACATGCAGCTGCTGGGTGACCTTGGGCCAGTCACACTTCTTTGAAGTCTCTCAGCCCCACTCACCTCACAGAGTGTTTGTTGTGGGGGAGGAAGGGAAAGGAGATTGTTAGCCGCTTTGAGACTCCTTCAGGTAGTGATAAAGTGGGATATCAAATCCAAACTCTTCTTCTTCTTCTTTCTGCCTAACAACATACCTGAAAGTGAAGTTGCCCTTGTCATCCACAGAGCCACTTCCCCACGTACTGTCCAAAAGGTGCCACCTTCCATCGAGATGAACAGTGCTCCAGACATGACTGTTATATTCCTCAATGACCTGTTCTGCTTTGTATCCATACCCTATGCAGTAGCCTGATAACGTCTTGCACTGTATCCCTGCAATACTGAGAAGGGAAGAAAGGTATTCAGGAACACCATTGTGATCAAGGGACTGCGGCTGCTTTCGCTGATTTTCTTTTTGAACGAGATCCTCCTTCACTGTGCTGTTTTCAGAAGCCAAACAACAGCCTTCCCAGCTCATTGCATTTCACACTTGTCCTGTCCGGTCTGCCTCATTAGGGGTGTGCATTGTGGGATTGTGATGGAGAAAATAGAATTATTTTGAGTGTCACCTGGGACCACTACTTTCCTTTTCAGAAAAGCCATGGCTCAGTAGTGCTAACAGACCCGACTGTGACCACAGCCTGCTTCATTTCTTTCTTTCATATTACAAGTTACAGGTAGGTAGCCGTGTTGGTCTGCCGTAGTCGAAACAAAACAAAACAAATTAAATTAAATTTAAAAATTTAAAAATTCCTTCCAGTAGCACCCTAGAAACCAACTAAGTTAGTTATTAGGGACGTGGGTGGCGCTGTGGGTTAAACCACAGAGCCTAGGACTTGCCGATCAGAAGGTCGGCGGTTCGAATCCCCGTGACGAGGTGAGCTCCCGTTGCTCGGTCCCTGCTCCTGCCAACCTAGCAGTTCGAAAGCACGTCAAAGTGCAAGTAGATAAATAGGTACCACTCTGGCGGGAAGGTAAATGGCATTTCCGTGCACTGCTCTGGTTCGCCAGAAGCGGCTTAGTCATGCTGGCCACATGCTGGCTGTAAGCCGGCTCCCTCGGCCAATAAAGCGAGATGAGTGCCGCAACCCCAGAGTTGGTCATGACTGGACCAAATGGTCAGGGGTCCCTTTAAGTTAGTTATTGGTATGAACTTTTGTGTGGTATCTGAAGAAGTGTGCATGCACACGAAAGCTCATACCAATAGCTAACTTTGTTGGTCTCTAAGGTGCTACCGGAAGGAATTTCTTTATTTTTTAATTTAATTTTATTTATTTTGTTTTGTTTCATATTACAGATGTAGGAAATCTTTGGCCATCCAGATGTTGCTGAAATATACCTCCCGTCATTTCTGGCCATTGGCTAAGCTTGCTTGGCCTGATGGGAGTTGCAGCTGAGCAATGTCTGGAGGGCCAAAGGTTCTGCATGCCTGCTATATAAGCATGGTGGTCCTTTGCACCTGGTCCAGTTATCCCATTCAGGACCAGGGTGTCCACCACACCTGCCCGCCCCCTCTCCCCAAGAAACAGTCCATTGATTTCAGTGGATCTGCTCAAAGCTTAATTCAACACAACCCTATATATGCAAATTTGCTTCAGGAACATTCAAACCATTGAGGAACCTGTGGCTCCCATCATCCCTGCCACGAAACCACTGCTTGACCCGATAACTGGGGCTGACAGAAGTCACCTGCACATTTCTTCAAAGAGTCCACAATATCCTGTACAAATTCCTTTCCCTGACTGCAGGACATCTGCTGCCTCTGAAGTCCTCTTGGCTTCGTCATAGAAGGCTTCCATATCATATTCTAGAGAAATAAACACATTTATGAAATATCACCCCAAAGCATGAAATGCATAGTGAACAAGGGTCTGCAAGAGTCACGTGTGGGTTACAAACGTTCAGAAGATGCGAGTGAGCAATCAGTTCAATGAACATATGTCTTTTTCCCTTAACGAAATAACAAAAGTTTATTGTGTGACAAATCACCTATATGATGGCAAATCCACATCCAAATGGCTCGGACTTTCTCCAGGTCACTGTGGGCTTTTTGGAGCAAGACGCTCACCAGGTTTTCCACGCTATCCTTGACATTCACCTGTTTCACAAAAGGTAAATAGATTTGGTAGCAGTTAGAATGGGTCAGTGTCGGGATGCAGTGGTGGACTAGATGGAGGACAATAAACTGTGTTTGAATCCTGGGGCGATGGAGTATCTTGGTGGGTGGTTCTCATGTTCTAGAAATTGACAGGTTTCCTGTTCTGCATGTGGTTGCACTCCCCCTGAAGGAGCCAGGTAATAGTTGGGGGTACTCCTGGATTCATCATCATCATCATAAATTTATACGCTGTCTATCTGGCTGGGTTTCCCCAGCCATTCTGGGTGGCTCCCAACAGAATATGAATAATAATAATTAAAAAATAAAACATCAAACATTAAAACAAGGTTGCCTTCAGATGTCTTCTAAAAGTCAGATAGTTGCTTATTTCCTTGACATCTGATGGGAGGGCGTTCCACAGGGCAGGCGCCACCACCGAGAAGGCCCTCTGCCTGGTTCCCTGGTTTTTAATGACTTGTGTTTTAATGTATTTTTAATCTTTTGTTGGAAGCCGCCCAGAGTGGCTGGGGAAACCCAGTCAGATGGGCGGAATATAAATAATAAATTTATTATTATTATTAGTCTTCAGCCTACGTGAACAGTCCCTTTGTTGTGTTAATCATGCGCAAAACAGAGTCTTGTGACTCATGATGCTTCCCATTGTGACCTTCAAAGTGGACATAAGAAGCTGCCTCTTCTCAGGAGAGCACACTTGAAGGTACTCTTAGAATCCAAATCCACGTTTAAAAAAAACCCTGATAGGCAGGACTATTACTCCACTTGTAAATATATCACAATAAGAAACAGCGTACCTTCTGTGCATAGGCATCGAGTTCCTCAAACTGCATCAAGTCTATTTCTATCGATTTCTCATTGCATTCATCCCAAGGATAATCTAGGAAGAAACATGGAAGACGTGGATTTTGATCTGTTCTCAGACCTATCTACAGTATTTATTCACCAGGTCGTTAACTGTAGGTTCATTTCGGGAACTATTATGGTGACACAAACAGGGCTGCTTGAGGTGATGGATAAAATGTACCCACCCACATGCCACATACAGAAACCCCATTCCACTTGCAAAAACCAAACGGTGGTGATGGGACAAAATCCTTTACCATACCTGAGAGCAGGCTAACCTAGTGGACGTAGGGCAAACATAATAGTACGCAGGGATGTGTCTTCTCTTCCCTCCACCCACCCAGGAATATCTGAAGCCCGAAATGGCCCTCTCACTGCCTAATGTTAGGGCTGGCCTTGGCGTTAAATGTATGGTGTATCTAATTTTTACCATGCAAGCCTTGTTCCCAGAACATCTCAAGAGGTGTGGACGGGCTCTCATGAAAACTGCTTTCTCTGCTACTATGATATACAACTCCCATTATTCCTCGCGACTGACCATGCTTGCTGAGGCTGTTGGCAGTTGTAGTCCAACAACATCTGGAGGGCCAAACGTTCCCCACAACTAAAATATAGCCATATAGAGCCATAACAAAGGGACGCAGGTGGCGCTGTGGGTTAAACCTTGCTGATCAGAAGGTCGCGGTTCGAATCCCCGCGACGGGGTGAGCTCCCGTTGCTCGGTCCCTGTTCTTGCCAACCTAGCAGTTCAAAAGCACGTCAAAGTGCAAGTAGATAAATAGGTACCGCTCCGGCGGGAAGGTAAACGGCGTTTCCATGCGCTGCTCTGGTTCACCAGAAGTGGCTTAGTCATGCTGGCCACATGACCCGGAAGCTGTACGCCGGCTCCCTCGGCCAATAAAGCGAGATGAGCGCCACAACCCCAGAGTCGGCCATGACTGGACCTAATGGTCAGGGGTCTTTATAGCCATAACAAAGAAGTTGTATTTACCGTACAGATCTTTTTTCTCAAGTGCCATTGATCTTCCTCCTTCTCCTGGAAAGCCTACAAAATTGCTACTGTTGGGATGAGACAAGATGCACATGAAAGCATATATCGCAATTTCCATCATCCCACAGAGTCGTCATACTGGCAGTGGAGCTGTGCTTGCCCAGGTGAGACAGAGCACTGGCTTGGGAGACAGCTGATGCTTCATTGAGTTGCAAAGGCTTTCTAGGACATTGTACAGTGGTACCTCAGGTTACATACGCTTCAGGTTACATACGCTTCAGGTTACAGACTCCGCTAACCCAGAAATAGTGCTTCAGGTTAAGAACTTTGTTTCAGGATGAGAACAGAAATCGCACAGCGGCAGTGGGAGGCCTCATTAGCTAAAGTGGTACCTCAGGTTAAGAACAGTTTCAGGTTAAGAACGGACCTCCGGAACCAATTAAGTACCTTACTTAACCCGAGGTACCACTGTGTTGTAAAGACTGGCCAGGTTAAACTTGCACAAACGTCAGTTTGGGTTTTCTGCAGATTGACATTTGCTCTGAATTAGCACCAAAGAGCGGGTTTTTAGGGGAATGTTCTGGGGCAAAAAAAGAGCGCTCACAGAGCTATAAAGCATGGACCATACCTTGAAGGAGCAGAGGAAATGGAAGTGTGGATAAGCCCTTGATGTTACACTGACAATCACAGGGTTGCTGATCTCACCTCCTTCCTCCTTCCCTTCCTCCTCCATGATGCGATACATAATGGGAGCACACTTTGTTTGAGTGGCAAGACCAAACATATGCTTATCGCACCTCCACCTTAACCAGACAGATCTAGAATCTTCCCTATCACACAGGTATTTCCGATAATAAATATTAGGTCTCTTATTTTCCTGATTGTAGCCAGGGTCAAGTGCTTTCCTCCAAAAGGGATTCTGCTTCCATTCAGCTTCTGCCAACATTTAGCTCCAAATGCTAACAGTAGGGAGATTTTTTTAACCAGACAACCTGCAAGCTTGATGTTTCGGCCAGGCATCTCCTCACCCCAACACCCCCCCCCCCGGAGCATATCCATTTTTATTACAGTGGTACCTCGGGTTAAGAGGGACGCGGGTGGTGCTGAGGGTTAAACCACAGAGCCTAAGACTTGCCAATCAGAAGGTCGGCGGTTCGAATCCCCGCGATGGGGTGAGCTCCCATTGCTCGTTCCCAGCTCCTGCCAACCTAGCAGTTCAAAATCATGTCAAAGTGCAAGTAGATAAATAGATACTGCTCTGGCCGGAAGGTAAACGGCGTTTCCGTGTGCTGCTCTGGTTCGCCAGAAGCGGCTTAGTTATGCTGGCCACATGACCCGGAAGTTGTATGCCGGCTCCCTCAGCCAATAAAGCGAGATGAGCGCCGCAACCCCAGAGTCGGCCACGACTGGACCTTTACCTTTATCTTCTACCTCAGGTTAAGTACTTAATTCATTCCGGAGGTCCGTTCTTAACCTGAAACTTTTCTTAACCTGAGGTACCACTTTAGCTAATGGGGCCTCCTGCTGCCGCCGTGCAATTTCTGTCCTCATCCTGAAGCAAAGTTCTTAAGCTGAGGTACTATTTCTGGGTTAGCGGAGTCTGTAACCTGAAGCGTCTGTAACCCGAGGTACCACTGTAATTAGGTTTATAAAGTTTATATACCACTTGACCTTAAACGTAAATACCAAAGCCATTTACAAAAAGGAGTGAATACAGTGGTACCTTGGTTCTCAAACCAGTGGTACCTTGGTTCTGGAAGTCCGTTACAAAACCAAAGTGTTCCAAAACCAAGGCATGCTTTCCCATAGAAAGTAATACAGAATGGATTAATCTGTTCCAGACTTCTAAAAACAACCCCTAAAACAGCAATTTAACAGGAATTTTACTATCTAACGAGACCATCGATCCATAAAATGAAAGCAATAAACAATGTACTGCAGTCACACAATCAATCAATCAGTCAATCAGTAGCTGAACTGGGTTCCACACAGTCACGAAAACAAAACAAAAAAGCCGCAAAAACAGAAACACAAAAGAAATAGCAAAAACAGACAGACCTCAGCGTAAGACTCAAAACGGAAGTGTGGCACTCAAAAGGGAAGCATAACACTCAAAACGGAGCTCATTCACCTTCTGAAGAAAGTTCGCAAACCGGAACACTTACTTCCGGGTTTGCAGTGTTTGGGTTCCAAGTTGTTTGAGTACTAAGGTGTTTGAGAACCAAGGTACCACTGTACAACACCCAAACACCAATTTTAATTCCTATTGGCCACAAGATGGCAATGGAAGATGGTCTGAAACCTTACAGTACCATCCCTAGAAGTGGAAACACAAAAAAGGATGTTGCAGAGGGCAAGGCAATTGCCTGAGGATCATGTTGTCGTTTGAGCTTCAGCCACTGCACTGGATTCTGCCTTTAGGGAAAGGTTTGTAGCTTAGTGGCAGAGCAGAAGATCCCTGGTTCAGTCCCAAACAGACAGGACAGTTGTAACAGGAGGAAATCAAAAGGTGAAAAACACAAATATAAAATAGGCATGTAGAATGAGTAGTTGCACGTGAGTTAAAGTAACAAAGTCCAAGTAAAGACTCTCGATTTTATGAGATCATCAGGTATTAGTTCCAGATCTGCTAGGCTTGTGTCTTGAAAATGATGGTTTTGCTAGTCTATGTCATGAAGAAATGTAAAATCACCTTTGAATTTAATCATGTGTAAGGGGCCTTAGAGGGACGCGGGTGGCGCTGTGGGTTAAACCACAGAGCCTAGGACTTGCCGATCAGAAGGTCAGCAGTTTGAATCCCCGCGAAGGGGTGAGCTTCTGTTGCTTGGTCCCTGCTCCTGCCAACCTAGCAGTTCAAAAGCACATCAAGTGCAAGTAGATAAATAGGTACCGCTCCGGTGGGAAGGTAAACGGCGTTTCCGTGCACTGCTGTGGTTCACCAGAAGCGGCTTAGTCATGCTGGCCACATGACACGGAAGCTGTACGCTGGCTCCCTCGGCCAGTAAAGCGAGATGAGCACCGCAACCCCAGAGTCGGTCACAACTGGACCTAATGGTCAGGGGTCCCTTTACCTTTTAAGGTGCCTTATTTTCAAATATTTTATTTTGTATTAATTCCCATGAATTCCATTTTCTAGATAATATCAGTATAAGTTCTACACCATACACTCAAATATCATTTAATGATCCTATTAAGTTTTGTACATTAATAAGACAAAAGATTTGTTTTCTTTACAGTCAGAAGTCTGCTTTTTTATTTAACTGTGTAAGCATCAACCCCTTTTCCACTGGGTTGTTACTGGGTTGTTTACGCTCCAGGGACTGTGCCTGAAATCAGCTCCTGCCTAGAATCCCAGTCTTCAAATTTCACTAGTTACTAGTAATTAGACAGTTCCCAACCCCAGTCAGTTGTTGAGTTTCCCAAACCCTCTTCCTAAGAAACGCAAGCAAATTAAGATGCCTTGGTTACCTTTTTGATGTAGAAGACGTCCAAGTGATTATTTTTCTTCTTTGGAGGAAAACGTATTGCTGCAGGACGAACAATTAAGTGCTTTCATCCAGGAACGAAGTGCCAAAGTGAGGGTGAAGGTGAGGGCAGAGCATGGTTTGATCTGAGGTTGCCAACACCACCCCCCTCCTTGAGACCTTGGCATTAGGACAGAGGAGTAGCAGGAATGGCACCTGCAAAGTGAAAACAAACGGCAATCATAAGATGTTTTTAGCTGGAGTGTGTCCAAGCTCCCAGCATGGGGGAACAAAGATACGGCAGGTGTCTCTGTTGCTCATTTCCTCTCCTCCATAAGAACAGCCTCTTGTTCTCACAGTGGCCCGTGGGATAGCAGCAACTGCAAGCAGGATCCGTGCACAATAGCCCTCTCCCTTCCTGTGATCTCCAGCAGCTGGTATTCAGAAGCCTTGCTGCCTCCTTGGCTTATAGCCATGGATAGCAATCTTCTCCATGAATTTGCCTAACCCTCTATTAAAGGTAAAGGGACCCCTGACCATTAGGTCCAGTCGTGACCAACTCTGGGGTTGTGGCGCTCATCTCGCTTTATTGGCCAAGGGAGCCGGCGTACAGCTTCTGGGTCATGTGCCCAGCATGACTAAGCCGCTTCTGGCGAACCAGAACAGCACACGGAAACGCCGTTTATCTTCCTGTCAGAGCGGTACCTTTTTATCTACTTGCACTTTGACGTGCTTTCAAACTGCTAGGTTGGCAGGAGCAGGGACCGAGCAATGGGAGCTCACCCCGTCACGGGGATTCAAACCGCCAACCTTCTGATCGGCAAGTCCTGGGCTCTGTGGTTTAACCCACAGCACCACCCGCGTCCCCAAATCCTCTATTAATACCATCCAAATTGGAGGCCATCACAATATGTTAGGTTAGGTTAGGTTAGGTTAGGTTAGGTTAGGTTAGGTTATGAACAAACTCAGATGAGCTTCCAGGGGTCAGCAGACTTCTTCAGCAGGGGGCCAGTCCACTGTCCCTCAGACCTTGTGGGGGGCCGGACTATATTTTGAACAAAAAAATGGAACAAATTTCTACGCCCCACAAATAATCCAGAGATGCATTTTAAATAAAAAGACACATTCTACTCATGTAAAAGCACGCAGATTCCAGGACCGTCCGCGGGCCAGATTTAGAGGGCGATTGGGCCAGATCCGGCCCCCGGCCTTAGTTTGCCTGCCCATGGCTTAGGCCAATAACATGATAGTTATGAGCTGATATATTTAGTAATTAGATAGCTTATAAGCTTAATTAATTACAGCTGGGATGGGGGATCTTTTTGGTTCTGTGTTCTAGATCCTTATCAGCATCTGTCTGTGGGTCAAAATCCCTTTCACTTCCATAAGGTAAAAGGTAAAGGACCCCTGGATGGTCCAGTAAAAGGCAACTATGGGGTTGCGGCGCTCATCTCGCTTTCAGGCCAAGGGAGCCAACATTTGTTCACAATCAGCTTTATGGGTCATGTGGCCAGCAGGACTAAACCACTTCTGGCGCAACAGAACACCGTGACGGAAACCAGAGTGGACGGAAATGCCGTTTACCTTCTCGCCACAGTGGTACCTATTTATCTACTTGCACTTTGGCATGTTTTCAAACTGCTAGGTTGGCAGGAGCTGGGACAGAGCAACTGGAGCTCACCCCATCGCAGGGATTCGAACCGCCGACCTTTCGATCGGCAAGCCCAAGAGGCTCAGTGGTTTACACCACAGCACCACCTGCGTTCCTTAAGACCTAAAAGGCAAGAGGGGAAAGGACTATAAGGACCGATTTTAGCATTTCAATTAGATCAGGCATAACAGGAGTGGGGGAGAAGCCTTTAGGAGTCTCCACCTCTCTCTTTAAGAGCACAGCAAGACTTCAAGGGGAAGAGAAGCGACTTCTCTCTCCTTCCTTTTTAGGGCTCAGTTCAGGAGTGCCTGTGAGCTCCGTGCAGGGAGCCTGGCATGCCCAATCTCTCTGCTGAACTAGCACTAAGAAGGATCTCCCCCTCTCCTAATGAGGGGTGGGGGCACAATCTTGCTTAGTGCTGAGTTTCGGCACACCAGAGAGCTCTCTGCCAGGAGCGCCATGGCTCAGCCGAACACACCAGGCTTAGTCTCCCTTTAGATCAGCTGATATGAAGGGGGAGCAATCCTGCTTAGCAGTGGGTCCCTGCTTTCTGCATTGCTTCAGAGGCTTCAGTAGGCTGTCAGATGTTTTGGGAGCTGCACAAAGCAGCTTTGGAAAGCCACACCCTCTTAGTCAAGCCCCACCCATACCTGCATGACAGCAGGTGTAGAGGGGGTTGGCCATGGTTTGCCAAGAATGGTCTCATGGGCCAAATGTTGAAGGGGGGGCAAGATTTTCCCAGGGGTCGGACGTTCCCCATCCCTGCTCTAAAGATACAAAATGTGACCTTAGGAGCTGAAGGTTTCTTGTCTTGCCGCAGGAAACAACCACCCAATACTGCTGAAATGTGCCTTTGTAAACAACCGTGTTCTATCAAGGCCTCTCCACGTGAGTTTGCCATTCAAGCAAAATTCAAAAACTTTCATGTGGATCTTTAACATAAAAATGAATCTTCTGGGGAAAATATAAGCCCCTTTGATCTCTTAAAAGAAGCTAAATTTTATCTTGCTCAGTTTCCTTTTGGGGGAAAAGCTCCTGAAGGTAAGAAAGAGCAAAAAATAATTATTTTTTTCAAAGGTAAGAAAATCAGCCAAATACAGAAGCCGTTTAAAAAATGTGAGGACGGGTGGATATGCCCTGCTGACTTCATCATCATCATCATTTATTATTTATACCCCGACCATCTGGCTGGGTTTCCCCAGCCACTCTGGGCGGCTCCCAACAGAATATTAAAAACACGATAAAACATCAAACATTAAAAAACTTTCTTAAACAGGGCTGCCTTCAGGTGTCTTCTAAATGTCAGGTAGTTGCTTATTTCCTTGACATCTGGTAGGATGGCGCTCCACAGGGCAGGCGCCACTACCAAGAAGGCCCTCTGCCTTGTTCCCTGTAACTTCTCGCAGTGAGGGAACCGCCAGAAGGCCCTCGGCGCTGGACCTCATTGCCCGGGCTGAACAATGGGGGTGGAGACACTCCATCAGTTATACTGTGCTGAGGCCATTTAGGGCTTTAAAGATCAGCACCAACACTTTGAATTGTGCTCGGAAACGTACTGCGAGCCAATATAGTGCCCGGAAAATGACATGTTTTCTTCATGCGACAGAAAGCAGTTTGGGAGGGGGTGGGAGGCAGAAAATGTCACCTTCATACTAAAAGGCTCGTAATAATTTCAGGAAAACATACTGCTACGAAATGTGTTTCTGGACCTGTACGCATGTCGACCATGCACACATATTTCTGTGCACACTCCCAAGAGTTTTAGGATCTTTTACTGGAGTTAAACACGTGTCTGTTACGAATTCATGCTTATCCTTAATGTTATGTCTCAATAAGTTCACACACAAGAGGAAGACAGAAAAATTGGTTTATTGCATGAAATGAAAATGAAAGGATTATATTTTCAGACAGTAAGATTTACAAGTATAAGAGGGCAGCAAATCGGACAGTACAAACACACCTTGATTTTAAAGAGTGAAAAGATCCCCATCAAAAGCCTAGAATGTTGCTTCTGTCACCTATTCGTTGACCTATGATCCAGCGAAGCACAGGGCTTTTCTTCAAGAGCATAGGAAATTTATATGAGGATTTCCAATATACAGTCATACCTGTATATTGGATACCTGTATTCAGTCATTACAGACGCTTCAGGTTGCGTTTTTTTGGGTAGCAGACCGCTGAAACCTGGAAGTACCGGAATGGGTTACTTCTGGGTTTCGGCGGTCGCGCATGCGCAGAAGCGCTAAATTGCGCATGCGCAGAAGTGTCAAATCGCAACCTGCGCATGTGCAGACGCGCGTTGCGAGTGGTGCGGGTTGCGAATGTGCATCCAACACAGATCACGTTCGCAACCCAAGCATCGACTGTACTTAATTTTGCGCCTTTCTTTTGGAAATAAATGCAACTGCTGCACACATCATTATCTGTTTGAGAAGTAGCCACTTGGGGTCATCCGGGAGGTGATTCTCAACAAACAGAACAGGATGCGTAAGGAAGTAGTAGTCGTTGCATCTGCAAAAGGACAAAGAGCAGTGTTAGAATGCTTACAGGCCCAGTTCAGATGGCAAGTAAAACCAGTTTAGCATGATGAGAATGAACCAACGTGAGCCCCAGGCTCCCACTTTCCCCCACCTCCTCCCTCTCTTGGCTATGAAAGGTTTGGAAACTAGCTCCTGGGTTCAAGCACCTACAACTTCTCTTCTCGCCCACATCGGATGGACTGACAAATTCAAACCATGGCGTATCAAGCTAGCTGGTTTAAACAAACCATAGTCAACGTTAGCCACAGTTTAGGCTTTGGGTGACACTCTAAACTAGCCTTCTGATTCCTTCCAGATGATACTGAACTCTGTATCCCATCAATCCCAGCTAGCATGTCCAATGGTCAATGGTGATGGCAGGGCCAGATTTAGGTTTGATGAGGCCCTAAGCTACTGAAGGTAATGGGGCCCTTTATATGTCCAGCTGTATATAGAAATGAGCAAACCAGTGATATTTTAGGGAGCAGGCTAGCAGGCGGTGCCCGTTAATTACATCATAGGCGCGCACACAACACAAAACAAAACACTGTTGCTGTATGTAGGTTTTATTCTTTTTTAAAAAATCTTGTATCTTGGAAATGTACGTCCAGTTTTTGTTTCCTTTACATTTTTGGGAGGCCCCCAAGAGAGTGGGGCCCTAAACTATAGCTTGTTTAGCTCATATATAAATCTGGCACTGGGTGATGGGAGTTGAAAACAGCTGCAGGGCACTAGGTCGAGGAAATCTTGCACGCATAGCCCAACATACTCAAATGAACCATTTGAGAGGATAGGTGGTGATGGAGTTCCCTTGTTTCCCCCACCACTGTGACGCTCCATGCCAATGGCTTACCGTATTTTTCGCTCTATAAGACGCACTTTTCACCTCCTAAAAAGTAAGGGGAAATGTGTGTGCGGCTTATGGGGCGAATGCAGGCTGCGCAGCTATCGCTGAAGCCAGCAGAGCAAGAGCGAGAGCGGGAAGGTAAACGGCGTTTCCGTGCGCTGCTCTGGTTCGCCAGAAGCAGCTTAGTCCTGCTGGCCACTTAACCCGGAAGCTGTACGCCGGCTCCCTCGGCCAATAAAGTGAGATGAACGCTGCAACCCCAGAGTCGGACACGACTGGACCTAATGGTCAGGGGTCCCTTTACCTTTACTTATAATGGTCAGCCCTGGGGCCATCCAATCACAAACCCCAAGAAGTGGACCAAGCCAAACAGAAAACCCAAGAAAACAAAGGAAGTCAACCAGGTTACATCATTGTGCCCCACACTATGAATGGCTTTCTATTTCCCCGCAACGTACCTGCCAAGGACCCCGCATCTTCCCCATGTGCAGTCCAGAAGATGCCACTTTCCATCAAGATAAACAGCATTCCAGGCGTGCCTCTTCATGTTCCTTGTTCTGCCGACCAAATACCTACACCGTATCCCTACAAGACTGAGGGGGAAAGAAAGGTATTCAGGAACACCCTTGTTGCCAAGGGGACTGGCTCCTTTCATTGCTTTTGTTTTGTTTTATTGGACTGGAATGGCCATCCTTCATTTTGTTCCACAACAGAGATGTGGAGAGTGGGATTTTTATGGAGAAAACAGAAGTTCCGCACGAGACCACTACAGTGGTACCTCGGGTTAAGTACGTAATTCGTTCCGGAGGTCCGTACTTAACCTGAAACTGTTCTTAACCTGAAGAACCACTTTAGCTTATGGGGCCTCCTGCTGCTGCCGCGCCGCTGGAGCCCGATTTCTGTTCATATCCTGAAGCAAAATTCTTAACCCGAGGTACTATTTCTGGGTTAGCGGAGTGTGTAACCTGAAGCGTATGTAACCCAAGGTACCACTGTACTTTCCTTTGCAGAAAAGCCATGGCTCAGTAAGTGCTAACAGGCCCAATTGTGGCTGCAGCCTGTCTCGTTCATTTGCGAATCACAGGTAGGGGGAATCTTTGGCTCTCCAGACGTTGCCATTGGTCAAGCTTGCTAGGGCTGATGGGACTTGTAGCTAAGCAACACCTGGAAGGCCCAAGGTCCTCACTCCTGCTATAAAGGCATGGTAGTTTGTATGTTGCACTGGCGTATAAATTCATGTTATAAGCAGAATCGGCTTATATTTTGAAAAGAAGGAGAGAGGAATCTAGCTGATGCTTTTCAGGCAGCAAGAAGGGGTTTTAAAATGTACACGCAGTGTTTGGTGGGGAGGGACCAAGCAGGATTTCCACTGAATATATGCTTTCTTCTAGTCTGGGAATATGCAGTTGTCCCATATGGTAGGGTTGGGGGGCAAAGTTGTTCAGCTTTTTTGGGAAAATCTCCAAATAATCAACACTATGGGCTGCCATGCAACAGGGTTTCCCCAGACATTTTAAACCGACTTCCCAAAAATTCACCCAGACGCCATTTCCGATGGATGAATGCTGGCAATATCCGGGAAATTGCAAACATATGGCAGCCCTACCATACAGCGATCAAACCTGCAATCTTGGCGTTATCATCACAACGCTCTAACCAACTGAGCTATCAAGTGATATATCAAAAGTTTCCTTCAGGAGCATTCATAGTGTGGTGCTGGAGTGGGGAACCTGTGGCTCTGCAGATCTCCCGTCGTCCCTGCCAAGTAACAGCTGTTTGCCATGATGGCTGAGGCCAAAAGAGTTACCTGCACATCTTTGCAAAGAGTAGAGAATATCCAGAACAAATAGTCTTTCCTGACCGAAGGACATCGGCTGGCTTTAAAGCCAGCTTCTCTCTGTCACGGCAGCCTTCCTCGTCATATTCTGAAGAAATAAAGACATTTGTGAAATGTCACCCCAAAGTTTGCAACGCACAATGAAAAAGGGGCTGCAACAGGCAGGGACACCAGGTTTTAAAAAACAGCTGAAGCAACCTAGTCAGGCGAGGAGTTATTGAAAAGCTATTTCATTGTGTCTTCGTCTATGCGCACGCAATACCTTTAAAGCACATCTGAAGCACATTCTTTCCCTCAAAGCATTCTGGGCGCTATAGTTTATCCCTCACAGAGTTCCCAGCTATCCTTAACAAACCACAGTGCCCATAATTCTTTTGAGGGGAAAGAATGTGCTTTGAATGTGCTTTAAAGGCATGGTGTATACAAGCCTAACTGCAGATTATCCAAATAAAAGAAGCAGCAGCCACCAACACACAGCTTTGCTGCTTGTGTTGTAGAGCACTGACTTTTATCTACAGTTAGGTAAGGGATGGGGACTTGTGGGCAGTTGTCAGAGGCAAAAGAACGCCAGAATGCATAAGGTGGCACCTCCACCTACCAATATGATGGCAAATCCACACCCAAAAGGCTCGGACTTTCTCCAGGTCACTGTGGGCTTTTTGGAGCAAGACGCTCACCAGGTTTTCCACAGTATCCTTGACATCCACCTGTTTCACAAAAGGGAAATAGATTTGGTAGCAGTTAATATGGAGGAGCGGTACTCAGTTCCTTCCTTCTATCTAAGGCTTCCACTTGTTTAATGAAAATTTAGGGTGCAATTGTACAGGCACTTACAAGACGTTCGGTGCTATTGAATTCAGTGGAGCTTCCTTCTGAGTCAAAATGCGCAGGATTGCACAGACGATTAAGTGTGTGTGCTTGAGCTGAACAATCAATCAATCAATCAATCAATTATTAAATTTGCCAAAAACTTACCCCTCGGTAAAAATAATTCTGAAGGGAGAAGCATGATTAACCTTTCAATTTTCCAGTGTTAATACAGTGTCCACAATCTTCAGCTGCGATCCAAATCCCCTTTGTGATGCCTGGGTTGTGCATGTGTTGGATTGTGGGGAAGCATTCAGCCAGCCAGCCCTGTCAGCTTCCGCTGGTGGAGGGGTGCCATCATCCCTCCCCTGGTACGCAACTCCCCATTCTACCTGTGGGTGGGCAATGGCATACGTGGGGGGGGCATTTGTGGGGCAAGGAGGGTGAAGGGCTGAGGCAGACCTGGCTCAGGGCCGGATTCAGGTTTGATGAGGCCCTAAGCTACTGAAGGTAATGGGGCCCTTTATAGGTCCAGCTGTCCTTTGTCAACAACAAATTGTCGCTGTTTTTTGTGTTGAATATAGGGTAATTTATGGACCTAATGGGTATCTAAAGCCATTTGCACATGTTGTCATGCAACCAGTCCATGCAGAATGTAGGTACAGTGGTACCTCGGGTTAAGTACTTAATTTGTTCCAGAGGTCCGTTCTTAACCTGAAGGACCACTTTAGCTAATGGGGCCTCCCGCTGCCGCCACGCCGCCAGAGCACGATTTCTGTTCTCATCCTGAAGCAAAGTTCTTAACCCGAGGTACTAATTCTGGGTTAGCGGAGTCTGTAACCTGAAGCGTATGTAACCTGAAGCGTATGTAACCCGAGGTACCACTGTCCCCTATATATAGAAATGAGCAAACCAGTGATATTTTAGGGAGCAGGCTAGCAGTCAGGGCCCATTACTTGCATCATAGGAGCCTACACAACACAAAACACTGTTGCTGTATGTAGGATTTATTTTATTTGTTTTTTTATCTTATATTTTGGAAATGTATATCCAGGTGTGTGTGTTTTTTCTTTTAAATGTTTTGGAGGCCCCTAAGAAAGTGGGGCCCTAAGCTATAGCTTGTTTAGCTTATATGTAAATCCGGCACTGCCCTGGCTACTTAGTCAGCCCTGGCAGGATTCGGGAATCAGCACTGAGTCACAACCACGGTTGTTGATTCTCACCTGACTTTTGAGTCTTTTTTCAGCCAGAACTCACAGGAATTCAGTTCCAGCACCTCTTAAGTGGGTGCCATTGTCATTTTAAGAGAACAAGGAAGGTGTTCGTGGATGATTTCCGTTCTCATTCTGAGGTAAATTTCTTAACTTGATGTACTATTTCTGGGTTAGTGGAGTCTGTAACCTGAAGAGTATGTAACCTGAGGTACCACTGTATAACTGCATACTCCACACCATACTGTACAATTAATGCACAAGCCCCACCCTCAAATAATCCTGTGAGCAATAGTTAAGGGGTGCTGCGAATCTTAGCTCTATGAGGGATAAACAACAGTTGTGGGATTCAGGGGGGTCGGCAGTGTTTGCAGCCTTTGTGTATAGGCACTTTTTATGTTAACCATGCAGAAAATGGGAGCACCGTATTGTGACTTACGATGTTTGTTATTCAGTGTGGACAGAATAAGTTGCCTCCTATCAGGAGTGGTTCCTTGAAAGTACTCTCAAATTCCAAATGCCCATTGAAAACCTGAGCATCCTAGCAGATTATTTGCTGGACTATTATTCTACACTGAACATATCACAAGAAGAGAAAGCAAACCTTCTGTGCGTAGGCATCCAGTTCCTTAAACTCTGCCAAGTCTATCGGCATTGATTTCTTATCGCGTTCAACCCATGGACAAAGTATGAACAAACATGAAATATTCAGTCGAGAAAGTCCTACAAGTCCGGCAGAAAAAGGGAAGAAGTGAGAGAAGGAGACAGTGCTGGAGCAAACAGGATTTTGATCTGATCTAACAAGAATACAATTGTACCTTGGATCCCAAACACCTTGCGAGTCGAACATTTTGGCTGCTGAACACCGCAAACCCGGAAGTGAGTGTTCCGGTTTGTGAATGTTCTTTGGAACCCGGACGTCTGAGGCGACTTCTGTGACTTCTGATTGGCTGCAGGAGCTTCCTGCAGCCAATCGGAAGCCGGGCCTTTGTTTCCAAACGTTTTGGAAGTCAAACGGACTTCCGGAATGGATTCCGTTCAACTTCCGAGGTACCACTGTACTCCATTTCCTGGACACATGTAGACAGAACTTGCGACGGGAGTGGCATGGTTTTCACATCCTCCTGCAATAGTTGCTACCTCTTTAGAGAAACTCCACCCCAGCAGCAAAGGCCATTGCACCCACCTCCAATATCCGTTCTTCAGAACATAAACTGTAGGCTTATTTCGAGAACTATAATGGCAACGTAACAAGTGATGGGAACTGGGCTGATAGGTGAGGGTAAAACTGTCCCCATTCCCCTAACACCGGTGATAGGACAGAGACCTGCAGCACACCAGAGGAGAGCAGGCTAACTTTGATATACAGCAAGTTTGTGGGATCTTTGGGCCTCCAGATGCTACTGAACCACAAGTCCCTTAATCCTTTGCCACTGGCTTTGCTTGCTGGAGCTGACGGCCCAACAATATCTGGAGGGCCCAAAGTTCCCTACATTTGAAATACAGGTCAGTGGCCACATATAACCATAACAAAGGAGATTCTGACTAAACATCAGGAATAACACTCTGATGGCAACATCTGTTCAACAGTGGAACCGACTCCCTCAGAAAGTCCTCCTTCCTCGGAAGTTTTTAAGCAGAGGTTGGATGGTCATCAGTCATGGATGGTTTAGTTGAGATTCCTGCCATTGCAGGGGGTTGGACTAGATGACCCTCGGGACCCCTTCCAATTCTACAATTCTGTGGTTCTGCGAAAGAACTGATATTTACTATTCAGATTTTCCGGAGGCTGCGTTGATCCTTGTCCTTCTGCCATCTTGGAAACCTACAGAATTGAGATGAGATAATAGATGTACGTTAAAGCATATATTAACAGGGACACGGGTGGCGCTGTGGGCTAAACCACAGAGCCTAGGACTTGCCGATCAGAAGGTCGGCGGTTCGAATCCCCGTGACGGGGTGAGCTCCCGTTGCTCAGCCCTGCTCCTGCCCACCTAGCAGTTCGAAAGCACGTCAAAGTGCAATTAGATAAATAGGTAGTGCTCCGGCGGGAAGGTAAACAGCGTTTCCGTGCGCTGCTCTATTTCGCCAGAAGCGGCTTGGTCATGCTGGCCACGTGACCCGGAAGCTGTACGCCGGCTCCCGCGGCCAATAAAGTGAGATGAGCGCCACAACCCCAGAGTCTTTTTTTTGAAAATAATATTTATTACTTTTCCAACAATTTAAACACTACAAAAACAATACAATACAAAAACACTACATAACACTAACACATTAAACTAACAAAACAAAACAAAAACAATTAAACACATCAAACAATTTCAATATCTTATCTTTCATTCACTTATTTCCACGACCTCCTCACACCTCCCTTTTTGTATTCCACTTCTGTTAATTGTTTCAGCAATTCCTTTCCATCTTCCTCTGTTTTCTATCCTATAATTATCTTAACACATTCTAACCTTATTTTTCCCTTTAATTCTCTATTAATCTATTTATACTTAATTCCTTATAACATTTCTACTAAAGCCATATAACTTCATTCCAACATTTTTCTAACATTCATTAATTTTACAGTATTTCTGTAAATAGTCTTTAAACTTTTTCCAGTCTTCTTCCACTGACTCGCCACAACCCCAGAGTCGGTCACAACTGGACCTAATGGTCAGGGGTCCCTTTACCTCACTAAAGCATATATTGGCCATGCTGACTGGGACTGACGGGGGAACGATCTCTATATAGCCACAGATTCCCCATCCCCGATATGTTGCTCTTACACCAGTGTGACATTCATAGATGCCCTTAATTTCTTTATTTTATTTATTTCATAAGAATTTTAACTGATGCTTCAGGGAAACCTTGCAGCTCAGTTGGTTAGAGTGTCGTGCTGATGACACCAATGTCAGAGGCCCGATCCCCATACGCGACAGCTGCCTATTCTTGCACTGTAGAGGGTTGGACTCTGCAGTTCTATGACTATATACATTGGCTCACATCCAGCATCCACATTCACTGAGGGGAAAACAGCGCCTCTTGAAGCACATCCCATGTATGTATCGGCTATATAGTTAGGAAAGTGGTTTGCCTGTCTGTCTGTGTGTTCTCTATGCATTCAGATCCATTCAGCCACTGTCTGGTGCAGGGTGGATAAAAATCAATTATTTTTTTAAAAAAAATTAAATCAGGCTTTTTTATTTAAATTGGAATTTTTTTTATTTAAATCAGATTTTTTTAATTTAAATCAGATTTTTAAAATAAAATGCTTTTGGAGGAAAAATCTTTCTAAAGATAGTTTTCTATTTAAATTACATTACAGTGGTACCTCGGGTTAAGAACTTAATTTGTTCTGGAGGTCCGTTCTTTACCTGAAACCGTTCTTAACCTGAGGTACCACTTTAGCCTATGGTGCCTCCTGCTGCCGCCGCGCCGCAACTGCACAATTTCTGTTCTCATCCTGAAGCAAAGTTCTTAACCCGAGGTACTATTTCTGGGTTAGCAGAGTCTGTAACCTGAAGCGTCTGTAACCTGAAGTACCACTGTATAGTCCAAAGGCTATTCATCAGGAAATAAGGATTTATTTTAAGTTTTTCATGTGTGCTAAAACTCAGTCTAAGTTTTGTTTTTTTTAAATCGTTTAACCACATCAGTTAACAAACATGGATACATATGCTATAATGTTATTGTTTTAGTTAAATAATTTGTTTAAATTCTTATTAAAGAAATGATTTTTTTTCTCCTTCCAATAAAGTACAGCAGAAAAGTTGCCCAAATATAAACAATAATTTCATAATTACCTGTCTTTGTATTTCTAATAGTATAACCAAATCACTAATTTTTGATATAACTGTAAAAACTACTGTGAAAATTTATTATTCCAAAAATGAAATCTTCATCTGGTTGTAAATGTTAAGATTATACCAGCAAGAATGAGTCTTTCTGTAAAAAAAAGAAGATTTAAATCAAGTCTTACTGACTAGTGATTTAAATTGTGATTTAAATCAAATCCACCCTGGTCTGGTGTCTACTGTAGCTTAGCAAAAAAAAAAAGCCTGCAAGTTACTAGCCCTCAACATTTCACTTGCTCACATTGACCTCATGAAATACAGTGGTACCTCGGGTTAAGTACTTAATTCGTTCTGGAGGTCTGTTCTTAACCTGAAACTGTTCTTAACCTGAAGCACCACTTTAGCTAATGGGACCGCTGGAGAACGATTTCTGTTCTCATCCTGAATCAAAGTTCTTAACCTGAAGCACTATTTCTGGGTTAGCGGAGTCTGTAACCTGAAGCGTATGTAACCCGAGGTACCACTGTAGAGAGGTATGCTAAATTGTTGCTCTACGGCCTGCCAAGTTACCTCCAGGGATTGATCCTGGAACGAACTCCTGCCTGCTGACTATCTTAGAATTCCAGCCTGCAAAACTTAGCAGTTACTAATCATAAGACAGTTCCTGGACCCAACTTTCTCTTTCTTTTCCCAAACCCTCTTTCTAAGAAACAGAAACGAATTAAAGATGCTCTGCTTACCTATTCGTAGTAGATGCTCAGCGGAGACGTCCAGGTGATTGTTTCTCAACTTCGGAGAAAAAGCACCAACGCAGCAGGAGGAACAGCCGGGAATGCTTCCAGCCGGGAATGAAGAGCGAAAGTGAAGAGAGGAGGGAGGAGCGTGGCTTGATCTCAGCTTACCATCACCACCAACCCCTCCTTGAGACCTTGGCGTTAGAGGATAAGCGTTAGCAGCAAATACACCCATGAAGTCAAAACAGAAGGTTTTGCAGAGCAGCGCTGGAGTGCGTCCAAGTTCCCTGCGTGGGGAACAACAGATACAGCAAGTGTCTCAAATGTGAAGGCAAAGCCTAGCCATCGTGGCTCAAAGCCCCCAAAATACCTCTCCTCCCTGAATATGTCTCATCCTCTTTTAAAGTCTTCCAAATTGGGGGCCATCACTGTCTCCTGTGGGAGCAAGTTCCACAGTAAATTGTACGGTGCATAAATAAGTATTTTCTTTTATGTCTCCTGAATCTTCCAACAGAATCTTCTGTTAACTTTGAATCCATCTTCCAGCTTCGTTGGTGTTCACAAGTTGTCGTGTTATGAGAGGGGCAGAAAAACTTTCCTCCACCCGCTTTTCTGCATTGCCAGGCATAATATTATCAACTTCTCCCAGATAGATTGTTGTCATTCATAGTCTACATTCCCGTGTCCTTGTTTTCTTTTTACATAAGGGTGTGGGTGTGTGGGTGTGTGGGTGCAGGGCCGGATTCAGGTTTGATGAGGCCCTAAGCTACTGAAGGTAATGGGGCCCTTTATATGTCCAGCTGTCCTTTGTCAACAACAAATTGTCACCATTTTTTGTGTTGAATAAATGCCATATCGTAATTTATGGACCTAATAGGTATCTAAAGCCATTTGCACATAACAAATAGGAGCTTACACAACACAAAACACTGTTGCCGTGTTCTGGTTTTATTTTATTTGTTTTTTATCTTATATTTTGGAAATGTACATCCAGGTGTTTCTTTCCTTTAATTTTTTTTTGGGGGCCCCAAGATGGTGGGGCCTGAAGCTCTAGCTTGTTTAGCTTTGTTGTAAACAAAATCTGCCCTTCTTCCCTTATGGGTTATCCAAGAGCCCATATAGAGTCCTTACGTGGGTTCCCTATTGGTAGGAGAAAATAACAGAGGCCAACCAGAGAATATTGAGAAGCAAAGCAGCTAGTAAGCCTGATAAGGCTTTATTGATCTCTTGCAACAGGGTGCTCCCCTCACACGCAGGAAAGGAGGAGGACCCCAAGCAAAGTTGTGCCTGCCCTTATATAGACATTTTAAATTCCCTGCCCTGGAGCTCAAGACCACCCCTCCATACATCATACATACATCATAGAAGGGGCGTAACCCAAGACCACCCCACACAAACATCATACCTACATCACAGAAAAGGCAGTCTACAACAGAAATTTGAGTGTTGTTTTTCCTGTCTGGCGGGTTTTCTGATAATGCCTTATCTGATTGCCTCTCCTGGTAGTCTGGCCATTCCTCTGAAATGGTGATCACCCACTTCCTGAGACAATGGGAAAGTTACCCCCACCCCTCCCTGCTTGCAGAGAAAACATTTGGTCAGTTTGGGAGTCAAAATGGTTTCAGGGAGTCAAAATGATTTCAGGAAGGTCTTCCTGTGCTACCCCAAACATTGGTACATTTATGAACATTTATTATATATGTTGCTGCTGTTGTTTAGTTGTTTAGTCGTGTCCGACTCTTCGTGACCCCATGGACCAGAGCACGCCAGGCACTCCTGTCTTCCACTGCCTCCCGCAGTTTGGTCAAACTCATGTTCGTAGCTTCGAGAACACTGTCCAACCATCTTGTCCTCTATCATCCCCTTCTCCTTGTGCCCTCCATCTTTCCCAACACCAGGGTCTTTTCCAGGGAGTCTTCTCTTCTCATGAGGTGGCCCAAGTATTGGAGCCTCAGCTTCGGGATCTGTCCTTCTAGTGAGCACTCTCGGCTCTTGCGTCTGCATGAGAATGCTTAGGAAGAGAGAGGAAGCTCCAAGCTTCCCAGTCTGCCCTTCTTGTGCTGACCTGCGTTGATCTTTCTTCAGTGTTGGAATGACACCCTGAGAGCCTCATTCCAACACTGAAGAAAGATCAACGCAGGGCTGACCATTAGGTCCAGCCAACTCTGGGGTTGCGGCGCTCATCTCGCTTTACTGGCTGAGGGAGCCGGCGTACAGCTTCCGGGTCATGTGGCCAGCATGACTAAGCCGCTTCTGGTGAACCAGAGCAGCGCAAGGAAACGCCGTTTACCTTCCCACTGCAGCGGTACCTATTTATCTACTTGCATTTTTTGGCATGCTTTTGAACTGCTAGGTTGGCAGGAGCAGGGACCGAGCAACGGGAGCTCACCCCATCACGGGTATTCGAACTGCCAACCTTCTGATCAGCAAGTCCTAGTCTCTGTGGTTTAACCCACAACGCCACCCGCGTCCTGTATACAGTGGTACCTCAGGTTAAGTACTTAATTCATTCTGGAGGTCCGTTCTTAACCTGAAACTCTTCTTAACCTGAATCACCACTTTAGCTAATGGGGCCTCCTGCTGCCGCCGCACTGCCGAAGCACAATTTCTGTTCTCTTCCTGAAGCAAAGTTCTTAACCTGAAGCACTATTTCTGGGTTAGCGGAGTCTGTAACCTGAAGCATATGTAACCTGAAGTGTATGTAACCTGAGGTACCACTGTATATGTGTAAATAAACTATGGTTACCGGACATCCCCGTTTCCCGGAGACAGTCCCCAGATTTACAAATCTGTCCCCGGACAAAATCCGTCCCCGGAATGTCCCCGGATTTCATTTAATTTCCCTGGATTAATATTTTAAGTGTTGTAGATTTATTAGTAGGGAATGAATGTTGCGTGATTGGTTCAACAGCACAAGATGCATCATATGGGGACTTCTGGTGAGGCAAAATGGCGGGCGCCACAGCAGCCAGCAGCTCCTGAAGCCAGCCAGGGCCAACTGCGCTACCAGGCTGGATCCGGGCTGCTGAGACTGCCACTGCCACGGCCAAGGGGGAACTGGGGACGCCTGGCGCGTCAACTGGGGGAACTGCTGACTCCCGTCCGTGACCCAAATTGAGCCGGGAGCGAGAGCTCCTGGCCACCCGGCTGACTGCCCAGTAGCGCTCCAGGGCCAGGAAAACCCCGGAGCCAACACAGGGAGAAGGAGGAATGGAGAAGGAGAAGGAAGAGAGAGAAAGAGGAAGGAGAAAAAAGAAGGGAGCCCCGATCTGGTTGCGCCGCTACCGCCGCCACTGAGGAGGAGAGGTAGGAGTGCACTGGGAGGGCAAGGACATGTGACCGAACCCAGGCCCGACCCGAGGCTACTCTATGGCGAATAGCGCTCCAAGAGAGCAGGCCAGGGCCCAGAGAAAGGCTGTGCGACAGAGGAGACCACAGAAGAGAAGATATTACTTCTTCTTTTCTTTTTAATAATTTTTTAATTCTTTGAAAAAAATCTGGTAACCTTAAAATAAGCCATGAATCATTAAGGCACCGCACTCTTCACTGTCCCTCATTCCAAGGAACCCAAACCCTGGATAAGCACCTGGAACCCCTGGAATTCTGTGCCGCTCAGAGATTGGGGTGTCATGCAACAGTACTTTGGGGGACACCATGACTGTTTAAAGTGGTATAAAGGTAAAGGTAAAGGGACCCCTGACCATCAGGTCCAGTCGTGGCCGACTCTGGGGTTGTGGCGCTCATCTCGCTTTATTGGCTGAGGGAGCCGGCATACAGCTACCGGATCATGTGGCCAGCATGACTAAGCCGCTTCTAGCAAACCAGAGCAGCGCACGGAAACGCCGTTTACCTTCCCGCCAGAGCGGTACCTATTTATCTACTTGCACTTTGACATGCTTTCGAACTGCTAGGTTGGCAGGAGCAGGGACCGAGCAACGGGAGCTCACCCCGTCGCAGGGATTTGAACCGCCGACCTTCTAATTGGCAAGTCCTAGGCTCTGTGGTTTAACCCACAGCGCCACTTGTGTCCCAAAAGTGGTATAACACTGCTTTAAATGTATAGTCCAGGTGGGGCCCAGCTTTTCCTCAGAGCAGACCCGTTGAAATTAATGAGCATGACTAAATTGGGTCTTACCGATTTCAACAGGTCTACTCTGAGTAAAACTTAGTTGACTACTACAGATTATCTCTAGATATTATGGGTTGGAGCCAAGACTACACCCTTGAGCTTGTTCTTGTGGTCACCTTCATTCTCATTTATGGATGTGTGGTTAACCTGTTGTTTTGAGTCTGCAAAAGAGCCTTACTGAAGAAGTTAACGAAGCCCGTTCAGCAAACTTGTATGGTGAACGCCCAGTTAATCGGCTCAGCGTTCAAGTCATTAGGTTAATTAAACAAAACAGGATAATTGGAAAAGGGGGCTGTAGCTATGAATATTAGGGGTGGAAGACGGCGTATAACTCGATGGCAGAACAAATGATGCCGTGCTTTAAAATTAGAGGGTGTTCTACTAGGGTGTCAGAAATTACAGGGTGCCCCTTCTGGGAACTGTGATGGCAATTAAGCCATCTTCTGAGAATCTGTACTAGAGGATAGAAAACAATCCCAAGGTTGCAGCATTTCGTGGAAGATAATAGCGAGCCATCTGCTGGCACCATGAGCATCACAAGGACGGCCTTGTCAGCTTCTCTTCCCTGTAACTCCATGATCCTGTCCTTCTCCCACAATAACCTGCCTTTCCTTAGCTAGCATGAATTAAGGCAATGCAAATGGGCTGTAAAATGTTGGGAGGTCCACAGAATTTCCAGGTTTTGATGGCATACGTATCCACAACACAGCAGCAGGGAAAGCTATTTATTTGGAGGCCACAACTGATGGTGCGTCAGCCACAACTGGGCAGTCCTGTTATGAGAATTATAAGGTCTAAGATATAAAATAAACGCACCAAGCAAACACATACATAAATATATAAACCGCATATCTGAAACCGTACAGTCATATCTCAGGTTGAAGTTGCTTCAGGTTGAGTAACGGATCACGTTACTTCTGGGTTTCGCTTCTCGCGCATGTGCAGACGGTCAAAATGACGTCACGCGCATGCGCGGAAGTGGTGAATCGCGCCCCGCGCACACGCAGACGTGAGTTAGGTTTACTTCAGGATGCGAACGGGGCTCTGGAACGGATCCAGTTCGCATCCAGAGGTACCACTGTACAGGAAAAAGTCCTGAAACCATTTTGTCGCTCCCAAATGACCTCAAATATTTCTCTGCAAGGTTTAAGGAAATGGGGAGCCTCCCCATTGTCTCTTTGCTTCCAAATCCTGTCTTAAGGGCACATTTAAGATATGAATAGCGTGAGCCTGTGACCTGTGACCTGGATTCAGAAACTGAGTAGTTATCATAACAAAAGAGTGGCCAGGATGCCCAGGTAATCCAATCAGGTAACCTAGCAGACAGGATAAAAACAACGCACTCAGATTTCTGTCTGCCCCTTCTCTGATGTATGTATGCTGAATGAAGGGGTGGTCTTGGGCTACAGGGTAGGCAGTTCAAAAGTCTATATAAGGGCATGCGCGCATGGTTCGGGGTCCCTCCTGCCCCCAGGGTGTGGTTTGTGAGCACCCTGTTGCAACAGTTAATAAAGATCAGGCTTACTAGCTGTTTTGCTTCTCAATATTCTCTGGTTGGCCTCTGCTATTTTCTCCTACCCATAGAGAACCTACAAAAGGACTCTATATGGGCTCTTGGGTACCCCATAAGGGAAAAGGCCAGGAAGAGGACACTTCTCGTGGGCTGTTGACGGATTTGCTCCTGGGTGATAGATAGCGGTGAAAGAGAGGGAAAGAAAAAAAATGAATCTCTCTTCCAAGTGAGAGTTGGAATGCTGAGGAGAGCCTAAACGCAGTTCACGAGCACGTGTCCAGAACGATTGGTGGGTATTTTGTGATTGTCCTATTTTTTTTATTGCCTTGAGTGATTTGTTGTATCTATTGTGCTCTTGTTATACAGTGGTACCACGGTTTACGAACTTAATCCATTCCGGAAGTCTGTTCTTAAACCGAAACCATTCTTAAACCCAAGGCGCACTTTCCCTAATGAGGCCTCCCGTTGCTGGTGCCCTTCCACCATTCAGATTCTGTTCTTAGACTGAGGTAAAGTTCGCAAACCGGGAAACTATTTACGGTTTTGCAGAGTTCGTAAACCGAATCATTCTTAAACAAAACTGTTCTTAAACCGAGGTACCACTGTACAGTCAAACCTCAGTTCCTAAACACCTCCATTTTGGAATGTTTCAGCTCCCGAACGCCAAAAACCCGGAAGTAAGTGTTCTGGTTTCCGAACATTTTTCTGACGCGGCTTCCGCTTGAGTGCATTAAGCTCCTGCAGCCAATCGAAAGCCGCGTCTCGGTTGTTGAACATTTCGGAAGCTGAACTGGCTTCTGGAACAGATTACGTTTGACAACCGAGGTTTGACTGTATACTTCTTTTCTGTTGGTATGCTCTTCTCCACTTCAGGGGACTTTGGACCGAAAAACAATATATAAGTAAACCATAACCGCAATATGGTTATCATCTGAACAAACACAGGCAACAGACGCTGTCTTTTTTTTCTTGATCTGCTTATCCTGAATTTTGTATTCTGCAGGGATGGGGACTATGCAGGCCTTGTTGTTGGGCTCCAAATCCCCAGCCATAAGAGGACCATAAGATTCCCATTTCTGCTGTGTGCCCAGATCCTTCATTCATCCGATAATGCTGCAGACCTCACGAGTTACACATGCTTTTGTGGAAAGAACAATCTCCACTGAATTCAGCCTTAACCCACATCTTCACTTCTGAGTTCACAGATTCCATTACATGAGGAAAATTTTGAGTGACTCTACCTGACCCTATGGGACGCGGGTGGCACTGTGGGTAAAACCTCAGTGCCTAGGACTTGCCGATCGCATGGTCGGCAGTTTGAATCCCCGCGGCAGGGTGAGCTCCCGTCGTTCGGTCCCAGCGCCTGCCAACCTAGCAGTTCGAAAGCACCCCCGGGTGCAAGTAGATAAATAGGGACTGCTTACCAGCGGGAAGGTAAATGGCGTTCCGTGTGCTGCGCTGGCTTGCCAGAAGCAGCTTGTCACGCTGGCCACGTGACCCGGAAGTGTCTGCGGACAGCGCTGGCTCCCGGCCTCTAGAGTGAGAGGAGCGCACAACCCTAGAGTCTGGCAAGACTGGCCCGTACGGGCAGGGGTACCTTTACCTTTACCTGACCCTAATCACGTTCCTGCCCCTGTCTTATTATTATTATTATCATAACTGGATCAAAGGCATACATTTCTTTTACTAGGGCAGTTTCTCTCGGAATATGCACACTTTCCTGCTACACAGAATTCTTCAGCACCAAGAGCAACGGGTAAAGGTGGTTCACCCCATGGTTAATGGGGGGGGGGTAAATAGTGTCCACACTTAAGCCTGCTGGAAAGCACTGCCATTCTCATCTGAAGCCCCATTTGTGGATACCCCAAGAACCATCTGCACATGCTCAGAGGCACACATTTTTCCTTCGCTACTTGCTGGACTGAACACTGGCATAGAAAGTTAAGTTGGAGAGCATTGAAACATGGGCTAGATTAAGCCCCAGATTCCACATCTGCTTGGCCTGCTGAATAATATTTATTTATTTATTCATTCATTCATTCATTCCCCACCCACCTGGCTGGGTTTCCCCAGCCACTCTGGGCAGCTTCCAGCAAAATATTAAAATACAATAATTCATCAAATATTAAAAACTTCCCTAAACAGGGCTGCCTTCAGATGTCTTCTAAAAGTCAGATACAGTAGTACCTCAGGTTAAGTACTTAATTCATTCCGGAGGTCCGTACTTAACCTGAAACTGTTCTTAACCTGAAGCACCACTTTAGCTAATGGGGCCTCCTGCTGCCGTCACACCGCCGACACACGATTTCTGTTCTCATCCTGAAGCAAAGTTCTTAACCCCAGGTAATATTTCTGGGTTAGCGGAGTCTGTAACCTGAAGCATATGTAACCCGAGGTACCACTGTAGTTGGATCCCAGGGTTAAATCCCAATGGCATCTTCAGGTAGAGGTGGAATAAACCTTAGAGGGCCACTGCCAGTCGATGTAAAAATAAAATAAAGATAAATAACTTCGTATAAGACAATCTCTGGTCCATGCTGGTGGAAAGAGTTGCGTGTGGCGCCGTCGGGTGGGGAGAAATGCTTTTTCCCAAACTGTGTGACCACTAGAGGTCTCTGGTTATTGATGATGGAAGGGAAAAGGGGGGAGAACACTCTCTATGTCCCCCGCCTCTCTCTCTCCTTTTCCCTTGACCGGGATATCAAGAATTGAACTTCCTGAGTCAAGAAGTCCCCCACCTTTCTGTGTCCGCTTCAAGAAGTGACTTTTGCTGGAGAGATCCCGAAGTGGGTGTGAGGAGGGAAGGAGGGAAGTTGCAAAACTAGGGTTTCTCTCAAATGTGCTCTAAACTGCGTAGGAAAGGCTGTAAGGGATCTGGGGCTAAGCCCGCGAATGAATCTCCTCTTCCATCATACAGCTGTTTGCCCTGCCGGCTGAAATGGTCCTGAGGCTCAGAGTCTCCCTTCCTGCAGTTGCAGGTTGGGGAACAGCAGAGGAGGAAGAAGTGGCTGAGATAGGAAATGATAAAGGGCAATAAGGAGGTAAGAAGAGCGACGCTGGATCAGGCCAGTGGCTTGTCTAGTCCAGCATCCTGCTCTCTCAGTGGCCAGCCAGATTCCGGAGGGGATGCTGCAAGCAGGACCTGAAGGCAAGGGAACTCTCTCCTGGTGCAGCGATAAAACCACTAGCGCGTTTGCAACGCTAAGCAGGGTCTGGTATGGTTTCAAACTGGATGGGGGACCGCGTGTTGAGATTCCTGCATTGCCAGGGGTTGGGCTGGATGACGTTCCGGGTCCCTTCCAACTTTACAATTCCATGATTCCTGCGATATCTAGCCACTGGAATGCGGAGCTATGCTTTCGGATTAATGTAACTGTGGCGTTTGCCTCCTAGGTGCGTCATTAAGAAAGGGTTAAATGAGTGAGAATGTGATTGGCCAGTGGGAATGCAAGGCGGGAGTAAAAGTTAGAGTGAGAGGTTTTGAAAGTCAGTTGAGGTTTGGGAATTGGAGAAGGAAGAGGGAGGAATAGGCAGTGTATTGTGAGAGAGTGAGAGGAATTGTTGGGTGGAGTCAGATAGATAGTTGGGGATAATCAGTTTGAAGTTGTTAGGAACTAAGATTAAGAAACTGCCAAGAAAAATTAACTGTAACCATAAGCTTGTTCCTGCATTTAAAAAATAAACTTGATTATCTGTTAATGTTAACAACTGACTGGACTCCGTGTGTCCCCGTGAGATACGGGGTGGTGGCAGCGGAAAAAGCAATCGCAGTGGTGGCACAGGGTCAATCGACTGTCAAATGTCCGGGGACCCTGTATGATCGCCACAGTAACCATCGATAGTCTTCTCCTCCATGAGTCCTCAAAGGAAGCGACAGCAACAGGAAAGGCAGCTCTCTTTAAAAAAAACTTACTTAGGAAGGGGAGATTGCTCCTGCTGAACCTTAGGCTAAACCCCTTATGCCTTGCAAACCCTGTGATTGCAGTGCCTAGTAGCAGATAGAAACAGATATTGAGAGGTGAATGCAACTGTGATCCGTCACATCCGCCAGGCCAGCTGTCAGATGTCAGTGGTGGTTGCTCCTCTGCCCCTCTGCCTCCCTTCCCTGTTCCGTTGGACCGAACAATGGGAGCTCACCCCGTCGCGGGGATTCGTGCGCTGCTCTGGTTCGCCAGAAGTGGCTTAGTCATGCTGGCCACATGACCCAGAAGCTGTACGCCGGCTCCCTCGGCCAGTAAAGCAAGATGAGCACCGCAACCTCCGAGTCGTCCGCGACTGGACCTAACGGTCAGAGGTCCCTTCACCTTTTAAGTAGCTCCATAAACACAAGAGACACCCAGGTTAAACACAGGTTTAATCACCCTATCTGGTGTGCTGCATCTTTCCATTTTTGGAGAGTCTTCCCTTTTTGTTCATTTGTTTTAATTTGAAAAAGAAAGATGTTTGTAGCCCCTTTTAAATGGTGTTTAACTGGACGCTTACCAAGGGTTACTCAACGAGACAAGCAGTAATGAATTCTACACTTTGCGTGTAGGTGAGAGCATTCTGGCAACCAGAGATTGTACCATGTATACGGCCGACAAGGTGATTATGAAAGCCAGTGTGGGGTAATGGTTAGTGTGTCGGACGAGGACCTGGGAGACTGGGGTTCAAATCCTTACTCTGCCATGAAGCTCTCAGGGTGACCTTGGACCAGTCAATATGCTCCAATGGAGAACTGGCCAGTGGCCAGGCAAATCCTACCCTAAAAACAGTAATGGGATTATAGATAGGGTAGGAAGCCAGAAACACTCCTGGAGGAGAGATCCAGCGGTGGTATCTGCTTTTGGTTTGCACTCTTTAAAAAATAATAATAACGATGCAAGTTTGTGCTCCAATAATGGAGGTAAAAATAAATAAGGAGATGCCAGATCCCAAGGGGACAACAGATATTCAGATCACAATCATCTGTGATTTTTTTTTTTGTCAATCTGATGTTTGTCCAGGAAATCTTAATAAAGCAATTCTCGCTTGGGAAGATGTGTCGCCTGAACCTTTCAGAGGGAGAATCTCTCAGCCAGGCCTTTGTCTCCAATCGAGGCAAATTCCCATACTCATGAAACTTTGCACAAGGAACGTTTTTTTTAATAACCTATTTCCTACCCCCTCGCCCACTCCCCGTCAGCTCACCTTATTGCTGTGGGGCATCCGCTGTTGCTATAGCTGAGGAACATGGTGCTATTTCCACAATAGCAATAGCAAACACTCTGGATTAGAAGGAACAACCTTTCCTCACCAGTTTGATGGTGGCACAACAAATACGGCACAAAACTGAAACTATTATTCTCTTTCGGTCCCACTCCAAAGTGTTTCCCCCACATGCAGCCATTTCTTCTCAAACCAGAGGCAGGAGCAGAGACAAGAGTGGGTGGGGAAGTAAACACAATTCAGCCGTGCAAACAGCAGTTTCCTAAACATACACACCCCAATACATCTCTCCCTGCCCCCTCTATCCACATAAGAACGGAACAGGGCCAAGCCTACAGTAGGCAGACGGAGGCAGCTCCCTCAGGCAGCAGCAGATATTGGAAGGCAAGAGCACCAGCTCTGGCATGTGCCGCACCCTGTGTCTGCCCCACCCGCAAGACAGCCCTCAGGCCGAGGCGCTGGGTTATCCCCAAGACTGGCAAGTAAGGGACTTCCCCTGCAGGCAAAGACAAGGCTCTGGCAGATTGAGCGGATGAGACCGAGTGGGTCCCACGGTCAAGGTGGTCTCTGCACAAGCTGTAAAGCGGCCTTTCTCAACCTGTGGGTCCCCAGATGTTGAACTACAACTCTCATCACCGCTAGCGAGCAAGGCCAGAGCTTGGGGATGATGGGAGTTGTAGTCCAACAACATCTGGGGACCCACAGGTTGAGAACCGCTGCAAAGGGAAGCGAGGAGCCCATGGGGCTCGTCAGCCCGAGAAGGTAGCCCTTCTAGGGGAAGGAAAACTCTTGATCCTAAACCTCCGCTGCCTTGTGGGACATCTTCAGAAGAAGAAAAGGCTCCGGAGTAAACCCTGAACAAATCCAGAGTGGAGAGACAGGATGGAGCCTTCCTTCCGGCAACTCCTGCAGCCCAGGGCGGAGGAAGGGGGGTGCGGTGGGGGCGGGCCACCTTGGGTGTCACCACTGAGGGGGGTGACAAAATGCCGGGCGGCACTCACCGCAGGGTCTTCAGCGTGCCCGAGCCACGCGTCTCTCCGGGGAGTGGCACAGTGACTTGGGCGCCCGGAGGCTCTGCGCTGCCCCAAATGGTCCACCCGCCGCCGCCTCCTCAGCTGTAGGGCGGCCGAGTGGGAGGAGGCAGAGCTGCCCCGCAGAACGTCCTACCCCGGCTGGCCCCGCCCCCTCAAGCGGCTGGCCCCACCCCTGGGCCAGTCCCCCGATTGGTTTGCTCCACCGCTGCCTGCCGCGAAGCTGTTGCCCAACATATTGCTCTGCTTTCCTTTGGAGCACATCAGCAGGGCCGAGAAATTGGGAGTCTTGTTGTCTGGGCAGTCCAGGACCTCCAGACACACTGCTCAGACTTACGCCTCCAGGCAGCCACTTTGGTGCTGCTAAGACAGCTGTTTGACTTCACCCCCCGGAGGTGCACTCAATTGCTTCTGGAGACAGACGGATCCCAGCAACTCAAAGCCACTTAAGCATAAAAGCAGCAATGTTAACGCACACTTTGCGCAGAGTAAGTCCCATTGAGCTCTATTGGGGGAGGGGAAGACATGTGTAAGAGGGCACTGTAAATGAATCGCTTTGCAGAAGTTCTTCATCTACTTCCTACGCTCTTAGCAAGCTCACCAACAAGACGCTTCCTGTTCAGAACTGTAACGCTGGTTATAAATACGAAAACCACATGCATCGTGACTTGTTTATTACATGGCAATAATATTGCTATTAACTGAGTTTTTTATATTAAAAAAACCTATAACCTGCACATCTTAGATGATATTAAATAAAAGAGGGTACTTTAAAGAAAGGACCCGATAGCAGGTGGTCCTTTGCAGAAGTAGGAAAGAAAAGCCCTTATGAACAAGCTCCGATCACATCCACCAAATTACTCGAGACAGATTTCTGAGTTGGGAGAGCTGGCGGTTCAAGTTTGCTCTCAGTTCTGTTGCAGAATGTCAGGGATCTGCTTGGCCGGCCAGGGTGGATCTGGCGATCTGCCACTGCAGGAGCAAGTGAAGGCGATAACAAAAAACAGGGAAGTGTCTGGTGCTGCAAGGTCACATTTGGGGCGCAGCCGGGCCAGAGATCCCTCCCCAAAAAATCTTGTCCGCCAAACGACACGCAGGCGTGGTTAAGAGTCACCGTCAGTACATTTGGTTAGGGTAAGGCCACAGGGGCAGGAAAGAGACGGGGTTCTCTCCGGCGTGAATCCGCTGGTGCCTCTTGTGATGGGAGCTGCGGCTGAAGCTTTTCCCGCAGTCGGAGCAGGTGTAGGGCTTCTCTCCCGTGTGGATGCGGTTGTGCTGCGTGAGGGTGGACTTGTCGGTGAAGCTCTTCCCGCAGTCGGAGCAGGTGTAGGGCTTCTCGCCCGTGTGGATCCTCTTGTGCCGGATCAGGTTGGAGCTGACGTTGAAGCACTTCCCGCAGTGGTTGCACTCAAAGGGCTTCTCCCCGGTGTGGATGCGCATGTGCTTGACCAGGTCCGAGGTCTGGTTGAAGCTCTGCCAGCACTCTGCGCACGTGTGGGGGATTTCGAAGGGGGAGTGCTGCTTCTTCTTGGCCTTCTTGGCTTTGCCTGGAGGTGAGGCGTTGTCGGCGGAGGAGCTCTCAGGGTGGCTGCATTTGCCCGGCTGCTTGCCCGGCGGGCTCTTCAGGTGGCGCTTGTGGTGGGAGCTGCGGCTGAACGTCTTCCCGCAGTCGATGCACTGGTAGGGCTTCTCGCCGGTGTGCGTCCGGACGTGCTGGACCAAGGTCGACTTGTCGGTGAAGCTCTTCCCGCACTCGGAGCACAGGTAGGGCTTCTCGCCCGTGTGGATCCTCTGGTGGCGGCTCAGGTTGGAGCTGACACTGAACATCTTCCCGCAGTCCAGGCACCGGAAGGGCTTTTCCCCTGTGTGGATCCTCTGGTGGTTGAGCAGGTCCGAGCTCTGCGCAAAGGTCTGCCCGCACTCGGTGCAGATGTTGGGGTTCTCTCCAGAGCAGGTCCTCTGCGGGGCAGCGAGGCCTTTGCGCTTCCTCGCCTTCTTATCAGGGGGGCCAGCCCCCTTTCCCTCCAACAGGAGGCGGCTATGCTCCTGGTCGTCCGAGGCCCGCCGACCCTTCGGACGCCTATTCTGACCTGAGGTCTGAGGCGTTTTCCCTTTTGATCTTTTGGGAGGCATCTCACTTAGGTTTCACTGGAACAGTCCCCCTAGAGTCCCTCTTGTAGTCCCATCACCTGTTCAGATAAACAGAGAGAGAGAGAGCTATTCGCATGTTGCCTATGGCTCGCATCAATGATGGAGCTTTAGGGAAGCTTTTAATGTTCAACAGACTACTGTATTTTAATACTTTGTTGGAAGCCGCCCAGAGTGGCTGGGGAAACCCAGCCAGATGGGCGGGGCATAAATATTATTATTATTATTATTATTATTATTATTATTATTATTACAGTGGTACCTCGGGTTACATACACTTCAGGTTACAGACGCTTCAGGTTACAGACTCTGCTAACCCAGAGATAGTGCTTCAGGTTAAGAACTTTGCTTCAGGATGAGAACAGAAATCGTGCTCTGGCAGCGTGGCGGCAGCTGGAGGCCCCATTAGCTAAAGTGGTGCTTCAGCTTAAGAATGGTTTCAGGTTAAGTACGGACCTCCGGAACAAATTAAGTACTTAACCTGAGGTACCACTGTATTATTATTATTATTATTATGGAGAACCTGCTCCCCTCTAGGTGTTCTGGGACCCCATCTCCCATCAGCCAGCAGTTATCAATGGTGTTAGGGATGATGGGAGCTATAGGAACAGAACTACCTAAAATGTATAGAAACTTATTCATGTATGCTGCTACAGCGGCAAGAATGTTACTTGCCCCAAAATGGAAAGAAGCAGAAGTCCCAGCAAAAGGAAGAATGGATACGGAAACTTATGCAATAGGCAGAAATGGTGAAACTTACCGGAAGAATAAGAAATCAAGATAACAAATTTTTTTTGCAAAAGAATGGAAATGGTTTATTGAATATTTTCAGATAAATTATAAACAGATAAAATCATTGGCAGGATTGTTGTAATAACCTGCCGCTTCATAAGAGTATATATTTAAGGAAGATGAATAAATGAGTGAATTAAGTTAACTTGGATATACAGAAGATATTAAAAACAAATTTAGGGAACCGCAGAAAGAGGGGGAAGGAAGTGAAGTTTTGAAATGTCAAAATGATGATTAAATTAGTGAAATGCATAAAATTAGTGAAATGTATAAACCTGAAAAGTGTAAAGAAATGAAGGTGGAAAAGGAATGATGAAAGCTGAGGTCCCACAACATCAAGCGGGCCACAAGGTTCTGCATCTCTATCTCACATCTGCACCTTAAAACTGTCTTTTCTCAAGCCCATTTCTTCAGCAAAGCCTTTCCCACTTTGACCTTTCTGGACATTATAGCAAGGTTACCCCTTTTATTTAAAAGAGCACACACACAAAAACTGCGCATTCTGCAGTTGCATGTCAGGCAGGAATCCAATGGGCACAATTTTCTGCCACATAGTAGGAAACTATATTATTCCATTGCTCCATTCTAGCTCCATATTGTCTACTCTGACTGGCAGGCAGCTCTCCAGAGTCTCCCAGTCTTTCCCAGCCCTACCTGGGGACTGAAGCTGGGGCCATCTGCATGCAAGTATATGCTCTGAGCTATGGCCCTAGCCATTGGCATTCATCTGCTTTGACATCTGCCCATCACAGGAACTGTGAAAAGACAGAGGGGTTTTGGAAGGGACAAATAAAACTGGTGGCAGCTGTACTCCGCGATCAACCAACTCTCCCCCCTCCTTAGACCCTGACCCCAAGCCACTGCCAGGGCCGTCACTTCTGTGCAGGGTACCCAGGCCGGGAAAAGGCTCCTGCCCCTTTAACAGCCCTGCAGAAGGGATAATTCCACCAGATGCAGCAGCTTCTCCCGCGTGCGGGGTGGGGGTGGGGGGAGAGAGCTGCACCTGACGGAATTCTGCCTTCCGTGCAACTCTTAAAGGCACAGCGACCCTCTCAGGGCCTGAACTTGACGCTGCGCCTGGGGACAGAGCAGAGAGGTGCCCTTTCCCTCTGCATTCAGCACACTGTTGTGAATGAGACGCAGCCCAGACGGGGAGAGAGAAGCCGCGCTTACTCTGACAGCCTCCGCGAAGGGAGAGAGGGACTCGAACCGGTCGAAAGGGACAAGGCGCGGCTTTCGCTTTTCTGCGATGCCTTTCCCTTTCTCCCGTCCTGATGTGGGCGGGTCCCTTTCGCCGGCGCCGTCAGCGGATCGGTGCCTGGAGCTCGCGGAAGGAAACCTCCGGGCGAGAGCCCTGCAGAGGCGGCGATCCTCCAGGCATCGATCCCGCAGAGGGCTGGGGTGGAAGAAGGCAGGCGATCGGGGCGGCGCCTTGCTCCTTGGCCCGGGCATCCAGGAGCGCAGCAGCGCCTCGGCGCAGCGCAGGTGCGGCGGCGAGATCAAGGCTTCTCCTCCTCCTCCTCCTCTCCTGCGCGCACGATCGCTTCCATCCGAGGCGGAGGCGCAGCCGTCGATGGGCTGCGCTGCTCGGGTTTGGGGGTCGCCGTGTGGCAGAGGAGTGGTGACAGGAAGCAGCATAATCGCCTAACCTGGGAAGCCCCACCTCAAAAGCGAGAGTGGAGAAAGCAAGGAAGGAGAGCGGGACGGCGGGCGCCTGCAATAGCGAGAGCCATCTGGTGGCCGCAACCGTGGATACCTCGCCCCATTCATTCAGCTGCTGCGGGCGCGCCGCGACGTCTGAAGCGCGCTCCCCGCGCCTCCTCAAGAACCCTGGGAACTATAGCACTGGGAATTGTAGTGTAAACAGGATTTATTTGTGGGGAGATGGGATTTGAAGGTATGGCGTGTGTGTGCAACCGCAGATGCTTCCAAACAGTGCCCGCACACAGCCCAGTTTCTTACCCCCAAGAAGGTAACACTTGCTGTTTAGTTGTTTAGTCGTGTCCGACTCTTCGTGACCCCATGGAGCAGAGCACGCCAGGCACTCCTGTCTTCCACTGCCTCCCGCAGTTCGGTCAGACTCATGTTTGTAGCTTCGAGAACACTGTCCCACCATCTCGTCCTCTGTCGTCCCCTTCTCCTTGTGCTCTCCATCTTTCCCAACATCAGGGTCTTTTCCAGGGAGTCTTCTCTTCTCATGAGGTGGCCACAGTACTGGAGCCTCAGCTTCAGGATCTGTCCTTCCAGTGAGCACTCAGGGCTGATTTCCTTAAGAATGGATCGGTTTGATCTTCTTGCAGTCCATGGGATCAGCCTTCTTTATGGTCCAGCTCTCACTTCCGTACATCACTACTGGGAAAACCATAGCACCCCCAAGAAGGTAGAGTGGTGCAATTCATACCTGAGCGTCTCCCTCTCTTGAAGAGGCAGTTCTGTTGCACATCTTTTCAGCACTTTCAGACCCACCAAACATGCATTTGGGGACCCCTTCCTTCAATCTTTCGGCGTATGTTCTGCATGCTGGGTAGTGCTGCTGTTGCAAACCAGCTTGGGTAAGGCCACTGCCACCCACTAGCAGGTCCCAATTCACCAGTTGAAGACCGGTGCACTACATGATGCTAGGACTGCTGAGCTAGGCCCCCTTCCCTAAGGAAATGCTGCTTGCACCCTGACCTAACCCCAAGTATTTGTTTGGTCGTGGATTACCCAGATTCTCTCGCTCAGGAATCCATGGCTGCCTGGAGAGGTGCTCCTTGTTCCAACTAAGGGCACACAACCACCTCCCCCACCTCCACTGTGTGTGGCTTTGATCCAGGTCCTACACTGACCCAGGAGGAAACTACCGAGGAAATAGATAGCTCAGTTGGTTAGAGCATGGTGCTGATAACACCAAGGTTGCTGGTTTGATCCCCATCTGGGATGGCTGCGTTGCATTGGATTGGATTAGATCAGGGGTCAGCAAACTTTTTCAGCAGGGGGCCGGTCCACCGTCCCTCAGACCTTGTGAGGGGGCCAGACTATATTTTGGAAGGGAAAAAAATGAACGAATTCCTATGCCCCACAAATAACCCAGAGATGCATTTTAAAGAAAAGCACACATTCTACTCATGTAAAAACACCAGGCAGGCCCCACAAATAACCCAGAGATGCATTTTAAATAAAAGGACACATTTTACACATGTAAAAACACATTGATTCCTGGACCGTCCGCGGGCCGGATTTAGAAGGCGATTGGGCCAGATCCAGCCCCTGGGCCTTAGTTTGCCTACCCATGAACTAGATGATCCTGCCCTTCCAACTCTACAAATCTATGATTTCGTGAAGGAAGCAGCTGCAGCGGCTTCTTCTGACCCAGGAAGCTCAAATCTTTGAGAAGACATTAAGGAGAGAGTGAGAGAGCGAAGCCCTCCCTCAGCGATAGCCAAGGCCCTCTGGTGGCAAAGAAGGAATTATTCTCTCCCCTCCCTTTTTTTGCGACCACCTCCCCCAAAGTAAATTCAACCTTGGGGGAAAACAACAGAAGCAGAATCTCAGCTGAGCTCTGGATGGAGCCAGGAAATGCTGGGGATTTGTGGCAGAGGCTAGAAGCTACAGCAGCTTAACAGGCCCAAACCAAGAGGCCCAAATGAGGCCTGGTTTACAACACACAACATCAAGCACGGCCTCTGTGTGTTTTAAGGCACCTCTTCTGGGATCCACATGCTTTGTATCACATTTAAACAGGGTCACTGGTTTTCTGTTTGGACAGTACGCTATGCTGGAGGTGCAGCCATATGTGCTGATGAGAACGCAAGGAAGACAGGTTTTTTATTTCATTTGTTTATTTAAAAAAACCATGCTGGAGTTTGCACTGAAAGCAGGCCTGAGCTGTGAACTGTAAGGAGCTGCCCTGTTATTCAAACTCAGGCTGCATACATGTCATACATTTAAAGCATTTCACCCCACCCCAAAAATATTAATGGGGACTATGGTTTATTAAGGGCCCTGGGAATTATAGCTTTGTGAGGCGTGAACTACCACTTCCAGGTTTCGTGGGGTGGCTGTGTGCTTTAAATACCACTGTCTGGCTCAAAATAAATACCATCCACCTCATTTTCGTTTCCTTCAGAGGCACCTAGACTCCATCCTCAGACTCTGGCCCTCTCCTCTAGTCCTGTTTACTTTCCTGGCCCTCCGAAGATTAGCAGAGGTAACATTAACAGATTAAGTGGATGTTTGTGTGTTCCACAGAAGCCCTGGATTGGCCACTGTGAGATACAGGATTCTGGCTGAGGTGAACCTTTGGCCTGATCCAGCAATTATTTCCTTAAGTCCTTAAGATATTCTGACTGGACCAAAACTTTAATAAGGAATGGGGAAAATTTATAGTTTATCTTAAAAACCACTGTAAACAGTTAAAATCGTTAATGGAGTTGGAATAACACTTGTGGTGTAGCGATGAACTTTGGACATAATGGAGATATTAAAAAGTTGGATTATTATAAAAGATGCAGAAGGAAAGGATTAACAATAAGACCCCACAAAGGGGAAGAGGGAAGTCCAGGAGATTCTTTGGAATCTCGCTTTTATATATATTATGCTGTTATGTGAATGTAAATTCTAATCTGGAAAATCAAATTTGTGTATAAAAATAAATAAGATATTCTGATAAAATGGGGGGCCTTAAATCCTTGAGTTGATAGGCCATGTTAGCTAGATACCACCCAAATGTAACAACTTTGCCACTTCATTAGAAATGTGCTTGATTTGAAAATCATCTCAAAACATGCGAAAAATCCATACGTCATAGTTCTTAGATAAGCTATAGTTTTGTTGACACACTTTAGCTCTGTAGGGAACCTGTGGCCTTCCATACATTGCTGGACTTTGACCCCCCATCACCACTGACCATTGGCCGTGCTGGATAGAGCTGATGGGATTTGAAGTCCCAACATCTGGAGGACCACAGGTTACCCCACCCCACCCCTGGTCTCTACAGTACGTGGCCAAACCTGACAGATTCTGGCTCACCTAACTCAGGCAGCTCTCTTTGCTCAAGACTGAAACAGCAACCTTGGGAAAGCTTGCAAAACTTACTATGACCCACACATCCCACCAGCCAGCGCCCCAAGCACTCCGCAGGCCACACTACACGGCTGGTGACATGCGAGACGCAAGCTGCTCCCATCTGCCTTGGAGGAACAGGAGCTTGTTCCAGCCAAACACTAGCCACCTCTTGTAAAGGGTTGCATGCACAAAGGCCAACCCATTTGCTATTGCAGGGGACCCAGGATTAATTTTTTTCCAGCATATGAGCCGCACAACACACAGGAAGGAGCATTTGTACAGATGCAGACGTGCGCACAAACCATTATGTCTTTGAGATGTCAGTCCTTCTGACAACAGAGGCATTGGGTGCTGAAGCCTATCTTGTTAAGGATCTTGGCAGGAAAGGGATCGGTATACCTAAAGGAGCATCTCCACCCCCATTGTTCAGCCTAGACACAAAGGTCCAGCTGTGAGGGCCTTCTGGCGGTTCCCTCACTGCAAGAAGTGAGGTGACAGGGAACCAGGCAGAGGGCCTTCTCGGTAGTGGCGCCTGCTCTGTGGAAAGCCCTCCCATCAGATGTCAAGGAAATAAACAACTATCTGACTTTTAGGAGATATCTGAAGGCAGCCCTGTTTAGGGAAGTTTTTAATGTTTGATGTTTTATCATGCTTTTAATATTCTGCTGGGAGCCACCCAGAGTAGCTGGGGAAACCCAGCCAGCTGGGCGGGGTAAAAATATATTATTATTATTATTATTATTATTATTATTATTATTATTATTATTGCTATGTACACATAACTCTTATTTCCATTTAGCTTCTATTATCATGGATGGCACCCTCACGGACGAAGACAAACAATTAAGAGATGCTCCTGCAAAAAGCTATTCAGATGTGCTTCTACTTTATATTGTTCCGGGTACGCTTCATTTACAGAAGCGTCACCTCACATGTTGTATGAAAACATAACCCCAAACACTCCGGCAAAAGTATCCATCTCATCATCATGGTGGAAAGAGATGCCTTGGTAGAACTGTTGGCTTACAAGTGTGGAGGTGTTGCTATACTACAGGTGTGTGGGACCTCTGGCCTTCAGATGTAGCTGAATGACAAGCGCCGTCAGCCTCAGCAAGCGTGGGATGATGGGAGTTGTAGTCCAGCAACATCTGGAGGGCCACAGGTTCCCCACACCGGGGGTAGCAGATGAGGCCACCAGAACAGCCTGTTTTCTTGCTTCGTCCTGCTGCTATAGCCATCAGGGCTTCCACCATGCCCCAAAGCAGACAGGGAAAGGAAGCAAACAGAAGGACCTAGCAAGAAAGGAGGCATGGAGACCAATCTCTGATCTCCCACTGCAGCAAAATTAAATGTAAAGCTTTAAAAAAAACACAACAACCCAGACCTCCAGGGAGAAGACAAGTGACAATGACATACTCAGGCGAGAAGTGGGATTTCACGTTCCTCTTTAAAAGGAGAGTTGATACTTCCTAGTTCAACCATGTTTAAAATAAATGGAGAAGTGAGCCATTAACAACACAACTGACCGAGGGATTCACGCACACAAAAATGATAAAACGGGTACAAAAAGGCAGATTGCACAGTAGCAAACCTTAGTTTGTTTATTTTTTAATGAAAATTTCATTCACCAGGGAAATGCTTAGATACTATGTTGATTAAGTTAATAGAACTCTCCACTCACTTCCAACAGTGAGGCTTGCTTTAAAATCGTTACACCACATCACCTATTTTTTTAAAAAAGGGGGGGTTGTGAATTACATATACACATTGCTGTGCTCTAAAAATGCTGTAACAGGATGGGTGGAGGGGGTGAAATTTCACACGTACACACCCTAATTCAGAGCCCCAGATCCTCCACAAAGCATACTTGTGAGATCCTGTCTGAGCAACATCCCAATTCATTAAGGGGGAGATTTTTGGTGTGTTGAGCTGTGCCTATCATCAAAAAATGGGAAAATCCTTGCATTTAGAAACAGGGAGAGGGTCTTCTGTCTATTGGTAAATATACTCTTGATGAAAGTGGGCAGGAACACAGGCACAGAATAGCAATGAAACATAATGGGAGCCTGGGCAACATATTTGGCCCATATTCATCACTAAAAGCTCTGAGAGACCAGGTCTGCACTTTGTGGGAGTCCAGTCCACAATCCTCACTTGGCTGAACACAAGAGCATAAAACAGGTTTCTTCACCCTCGGCCCTCCAGATATTTTGGCCTACAACTCCCATGATCCCCAGCTAGCAGGACCAGTGGTCAGGGATGATGGGAATTGTAGTCTCAAAACATCTGGAGGGCCAAGGTTGAGGAAGCCTAGCATAAAGGATTGCCTTGCTGGTTCAGACGGAAAAGCTCATCTAATCCAACACTCCTCTGCCATCATGCCCTCCCAGAGGCCCCCATTAAGTTCATTATCATAGAATTGTAGAGTTGGAAAGGACACCAAGGGTCATCTAGTCCAACCCCCCTGCGATGCAGGGATCACAACTATAGCATCCAATAGCTATGGCCATCCTTCTGCTTGTTTGGTGCTCCAAGGTCTACAGGACCTCAGTATATGGAAGTTAGTGGCTAATAGCCCTTGACAGAACTATCCTCCATTAATTTACCTAAACCTCTTAAAAAACAGAAAGCCATCTACACTTTAGTGGCCATGATCAGCCTGAAGGAGTGAATGAATCAGGACTCTTGCACAGTTGCTGTAACTTGCAAATGAACTTTTGGGTGAACGCAAGATCAAAACCTTGATAGACGGATTGCTGTGGCCCGATTCTGAAATGCATCGTGTACTAACACAACTCTGCAGGGATTATTTTCGAGAAATACTTTCAATAGGGGAGTTGTGCAATGGCTGGTTATAACCATACACCCAGGAAAACTGGTGGACAGTACTGTTAAAAAACTGCCAAGCATATAGGACAAGTCTTGCTGAAGCACAACCAGCATGGCTTCTGCAAGGACAAGCCCTGCCACACGGACTTAAATGAATTCTTTGATGGAGTCAACAAGCATATGCATAGGGGCGATCTAGTTGATATTTTGCACTCAAGGCTTTGGAAAAGCTTTTGACAAAGTACCTCATCTAAGGCTCCTGGCGCCAAGTGAGCTTAGCAGCCATGGGAAAGAGGATGACGGCCCCTGGTGAGATCAGTAACAGGTTGGAAAACAGGAAGCGGAGAATTGGAAGGATGTATGTTTCCAAGCACAATTAAAAGTGTTGGTGCTGACCTTTAAAGCCCTAAATGGGACCTGTATACCTGAAGGAGCATCTCCACCCCCGTTGTTCAGCCCAGACACTGAGGTCCTCCTTCAAGGGTCTTCTGGAGGTTCCACCATTGCAAGAAGTGAAGTTATAGGGAACCAGGCAGAGGGCCTTCTCAGTAGTGGCGCCTGCCCTGTGGAATGCCCTCCCATCAGATGTCAAGCAGATAAATGACTGACTGACTTTTAGAAGACATCTGAAGGCGGCCCTGTACAGGGAAGGTTTTTTAAAATTGTGTTTTCAATATTTTGTTGGAAGCCACCCAGAGTGGCTGGGCCAACGCAGTCAGATGAGTGGCCTATAAATAATTTTAAAAGAATTTTAAAAACATTACGTACAAAGTCTCTCAAGGATTGGTATTGGGACCTGTGCTTTTTAACTTGTTGATAATTTAGTTAGGCATGTGGTAGCCAAGCCGGCTGATAGTATCAGATTCATTGTGAAGAGCTCCAAAAAGATCGCTCCAAGCTGAATGAATGGGCAGAAAATGACAAATGCAATTTGATGTAAACAGGTGATATACATTGGGGGCAACTAGTCTAAATTAAACATAAATCCTCATAGGGTCTGAATTGCCAGTGACTGACCAAGAGTGAGACTTTGCGGTCATAGGGGAAAGTTCAGTGATGTCAATTCAGTGTGGGACAGCTGTGAAAAACATGAATTCCATGCTAGGGATCATTGCAAAAAAAAAAAGAAAAGAAAATTGCCAATATGATATGACTACAGTGGTACCTCTAGTTGCAGACTTAGTGTGTTTTGGGGTGCCATTCACACCCTGAAAAGTCCGCAACAAGAATGCATCTTCTGCGCATGTGCGTGGCGCAATTGAGCACAAAGCACAGAGATTGTGCTTGTGCGGGCGACGAAACCAGAAGTAAACACTTCTGGGTTTGCTGCGTTCGTAAGCTGAAAGTCCGTAAGAGCAGAACGAGGTATGACTGTATTCAACTGCACTTAGAATACTGTGTAGAGTTCTGGGTACCTCGCCTCAAAAAGGATTTTGTAGCGTTGGAAAAGGTTCAGAAAACGGAAACCCAAATGATCAAGAAGATGGAGGGAAACTTAACAAAACCTAAGCCTGTTTCAGAGACGAGTAAGAGGAGCCACGAGAGAAGTTTGTAAGATGATGCACGGGGCAGAGAAAGTGGATGGAGTTTCTCCTTCTCTCATGATGCCAGAACTTACGGACATTAAATGAAGCTGATTCAGGTCAGATTCAGGTCAGATGAAAGACACAGCACAGAGTTAACTGATGGACAAATTCATTGCTAAGGCTGCTAGTCACTGGCTCCTACCTTTTTCTCCCTGCTCTGTCAGAGGCAGTATGCCGGGAATCCCAGGTGGTGAAGAGTTATTATGCTCAGGCCCTGATTCTCATAGGCTTCTCATGGATGTCTGGGTTGGCCAATCAGAGAACAGGATGCTGGACTAGAGAAGCCATTGGTCTGATTCAGCAGGGCTCTTCTTACAAATGGACATACACACACACACACACCCCGCAAAAAAACCCCTACAAATAATAGTTGGAATTTTCTAAACGCCTCTATATTAACCAAGAGTTTGCCTTCTGGGATACAAAAACTCATACAGCAGAAACAAATAATGGATTCAGACAGAATGCAGCACTTACGGGTGATTGAGAAATGCTGACTTGTTTTTGTTTTTCCCTGTATTTTGGGGACACATCGACAACTGTCCCTTCTCCATCTCATTCAGGATGGCAAAAAAAAGCACCAATTGTACAAAGTGTTTAATTAACCTGTAGAATCAACTGCTACAATAGGTCAAAGGTTAGGTTTCCTATCAGACACTCGATTAAATAACAAACATTTTCATAAAGGTTCACCTACAGAAAGGATAAAAGCTAATCACAAAAATTACTTGGATATAGCAAACAGTCTTCTATGGACAGCTAATTCCAAACTTTCCCCCTTGTGTTACTTTTACAGTTTCGTATCAGGCTACCTCTGTTAGATCTAGATTTGACAGCCCCACTTTCTCTTTAAAGCGCAGGGCGGATCGTGACATTTGCCTTTCTTCTCGATAGTTAGCCATCGCAACTACCCAGATGAAGGAGATTCCCCAAATTCTCAACTTTTGTGTGTTTCGTTTTTCTTTCCTTTTAAAACAGAGGAGGAGCAGAGGCACAGAGGTGGCGACTCTGCCCACTTGGTCCACGGATGAGCTGAGATTCAAATAATTTCTTCTCCCACCTGGGTAGGGGGGAGCGGGGGACCACTGGCTGGATCAGAACAGGCGGGAACACCGTTCGGGACATGACAAAATGGGAACATACAGGAAAACCAATGGGGTGACCACTGCAGCCGTCCTGGACCCCTCCATCTCTGTCCGTCGGGCTGCGATACACTAAAACCAAATAGGACCTGGAATCCATCAACAAACCTGATTTGAGATTTCTCAGGGCTTGAATAAGGATTACAGGCGGCTAGCTCTGTAAGGAAGCAAGACAGCCTTCCCTTTCATTCTGTGTTGCGTTCATACCTTTCAGTGGTCCACTAATCCGAGCCCGTTGCACTACTTTCAGTCCTCTCCTTGTTTAATTTGGTTTTTCAACTTGTGTGTGCATGTACATGTGTACCTATATAATATATATATAAATATAATATATACATACACACGCAAAAAACACACACAGATAAACACACCACCTCCACCTTTTACAGCCCACTGTGTGAGCCTCCGATGGTATCTGCTGCCTTAGTAGCAGGCCACAACAAACCGCTTAGTCTCTTAAAGTGCCACAGCACAAATTTGTCTTCCTATAGGGAAAATGTGGCCCTTCTGCCACCAGATGTCCATTTGTCGCAGCCACACTGTGGAGAATGAGCAGCAAAGGGCAGGGAAAAACCCCCGAGGCCTGGAAAATGTGCCTTGTTACAGAGGCCTCAAGAGAGCTTCAAACCTATTCAAGCTTACCAAAGAGTCAACTGTAAAATGGATCCTCTGTAGAAAGCTATGCGATTCCTACCAACTTTTGGGCCATCCTGACTCAGTGGACAAAAATACAGTGTGATCCAGTGGCTGGGAAAGTGAAGCCCTGAAGCAAAAGGCTACTGAGGTTAAATTTGCGACCAGCATTACCTTCCTAAGGGCAGATTCTCCATCACTCAAAGAGTCTTTGCATAGAGACTAGGAGTCTTCTCTTCAAAAGGACCTGCGGCCCGGTTTGTGTAGGTAGTTAAAAGAGCCGCAAAAACGAAAGCTTTCGGCCCAGTGAGCCAAAGCAACAAAACCATCTGAAGGTTCGCTCGCAGTTACTGGATATCAATAAATAGTCCTATAGTGCCTTTAATAAAACTAAAATGCAGACTTCGCCAACGTGCTGCCTTCCAGATGTTTTCAGACAGCTTCCACGTGAGTCGCTCAAAACATCTTGAGGGCATATTAGCAAGGGCTGCAGGAGTGTCACATACAATATTCCTAAGAACTCACAATATTCCTGTTTGTTGATACTGAACGTTGATGACCCAGTGCATTTTCTGACAGCCCGACAGAACAGCCGCTAGTGCTGACAGCCACATAAATCTGCCTGCTCTTCAACGGCTTATATCCCCAAAGTGGGGATGTTTTCAGAAAAGCACAAAATTTATCTGGGATTATCGACGTTCGCACCAGAGCCAACCAGATTTTGAGCGTTCATTGTAGCCTATAACCACATACGGATCTTACCGAAGATCCTATAGACTAAGGCATTGATATCCAGTACCTGCCACAAGCGGCAAACCTTGCGATGGCGTTTGAAGCCAGACTGGCGCAATCTTTTAAGACGGCTCCTGCGCTCTTTCTTCGAACGACAACAAAAACCCACTAGTTCAGCTTCCCGAGGCACAGAGTTCCCTATCTACCCGCTCCAGCTGCGAGAGCGACCCTGTTAAAAGAGCGGGATGGGGTAGGCAAACAAGGGGTTCTCTCTGTTGTGGATCTTCTCGTGTCTCTTGTGGTGGGAGCTGTGGCTGAAGCACTTGCCGCAGAAGCGGCAGGCGTAGGGCTTCTCGCCGGTGTGGATGCGGTGGTGCTGAACCAGGGTGGACTTGTCGGTGAAGCAATTCCCGCACTCGGAGCACACGTAGGGCTTCTCGCCCGTGTGGATCCGCTGGTGCCGGAAGAGGTTGGAGCTGACGTTGAAGCTCTTCTCGCAGATGTTGCACTTGTAGGGCTTCTCCCCGGTGTGGATGCGCATGTGCTTGATGAGGTCAGCGTTGTGGTTGAAGCTGCGCAGGCACTCGGTGCAGGTGTTCAGCACCTCCGGCTTCTGCTTCGCCTTGGGCTTCTCGCCGGCCGAGTCCGCGCCGTCCGCCTGCAGGGCACAAGGCTCCTGCTGCTGCTGCTGCTCCTCGGCCGAGTCCCGCAAGTGCTTTTTCTTGTGGGAGCTGCGGCTGTAGCTCTTGCCGCAGTCGATGCACTCGTAAGGCTTCTCGCCCGTGTGGATCCTCTGGTGCTGTGTCAGGTTGGACTTGTCATTGAACCGCTTGCCGCAGTCGAGGCAGATGTAGGGCTTCTCCCCCGTGTGGATCCGCTGGTGCCGGTTCAGGCTGGAGCGGACGGCAAAGCTCTTCCCACATTCAGAGCACTTGTGGGGTTTGTCGTCGGGCTGGACCGGCCAGGGGTCGATCAGGCTCGAGTTCTGGATGAAGACCTTCCCGCACTCGATGCAAATGTCGGGGATCTCCTCCGTCTGGGTGCCCCGGTGCACCAGGAAGACCTTGCGCTTCTTGATGGTATGGACCGGCTTCACCGGCCACGTCATGGAAGGGATTTTCTTCTCCCGCACTTCCGTTCCACACGCTTGGCTGCGCCCGGGGCTTAAACTCAGCATTTTAAGGAGCTTACGCTTCGTCACCAGCTGCGACCGAGCCTCCTCGGGGCTGAAGTTCTCCTCCATGTGGCTCATAGCGTCGCTTCCTCTCACCTAGCAGAAAACCAAGTGTGTTGCTCTTTTTAGGACGGGAGGCAACGCTCACAGCAGCAAAGCATCAACCCTGTTAATCCCACCCCCAGTAATCCAAATGTAAACCCAGAGCAGGTGGTTCCAATATACGTTATATGTTTCGTTTGCATTAAGGCTTGTTTCCTCCATCAGTTCTTAAAATATGCCATAATCAAAAAGTAATGCAGGAACTGACTCTCAACTGCAGGTGGGCAAAAACCTACTTTGGACAATTGCTGGTGACTTCACGGGGAGAGGCAGATCAGGAATTTAGCAAAGCAGGTAAACTATAGGACCCCAAAACGGGTTCTGAAGATCATTGTATGCCAACTCCTTGTGTACAGCTGCAGGAAAATTACACAGAAGTATAGAAAAGCTGCAGGTTGTGGCACTGGCTTCGCTGTTCACTTCCTTTGGAATTCTGAATTCCTTTTGAAAGCAAATTTCCAGTGCTTAGGGCCAGGAAGGAGAGGCACGCTAAATTGGAACCCTCCGCCTCCAACCCCCAAGTCATTTGTGCCACTGAAAAAGCTCAGAAAACTCCTGGAAATGGCACATGAATCGGAGTGCTGTGCAAACCAAAACCATTGCATGCCAGCATCACTCGGCACTTCTGACCCAACTGCCTAGCCTATACTCCATACAGTGGAGTTGACTGCAATGGCAGAAAGGACTCAGGGCGCATTTTGGTGTTGCACGCTCTGCCCTGCTGATCTCTGAAGAGAGAGGGGGAAGACAGCCGGCAGAAGCAGCAGACCCTGGAGGCAGCTTGGGGAAAGACGCAGGACACAGCTCCCAGGCTGCCAGCTTCTGAATTCGGCTTTAAGCTAGGCGCCACACTTCCCGAGCCAGCCCAGCCTTATTCGTGACATTTTGCTTTTGGAATCTTGGGTGGCCCTTAATAGGAGAAAAGGCTTAGCCTGCCCTTAGCTCCACAGAGCGGTCTTCCACTACCAACCATCATTTGCACTATTCCTCAACCTTCCCCCAAAGCAGTTAATGTCTCAGGAGATGCCGGCAGCCTTCTCCAAGTCCTCTAATCCCAAACACAGGAGAGAGAGAGAGAGAGAGAGAGAGAGAGAGAGAGGATGCGTTACTCGGGGCCCCTCCATATGCTGCCATCTGTTCTCGGGGAAGAGACCCCTCAGCACTAAATAAACGCAAACAGCACCATTGTTTGTGAAAGTTGAAGCCATTTATAAACACACACACGCTGCCCCTCGCACGTGCGTGTCATCTTCCAAACTCAAGCCGCAGGCAGGCTTGCCACCCGCAACAATTCCACCGTTTGCCTGTATTTTGCGCGCGGCGGAGCAGGAACCGGGGTGTCCCTGGGAACACGACGAGCAATGCGTGGCGGAAGCGCACTCTGCACATGCTCAGGCCTACTCTCGCCCCTCGACTCCCCGCTACCACCGCCACCCCAGAGATCAGCCGCCCCCACCCCATGCGAATTCCAGCTGCAGCTCACCGTCCGTGCGCCGGTAGCCAGGCCGGAGGCGGCTGCAGGAGAGCGGGCAGTGGGGGGCTGGTTTCCAGCCCAGCGGTCCGGATCAACCCCTCTGTGCGGCCCGCAGCTGCTGCCGCCCGAGGAGGCGCGAGGCGAGAAGCAGACCCGAGCGATCCGGGGGGGTCCCCTATACACACCCCGTCGCCCTGCTTTAATTTCTGGGGTGGGGTGGCGGGTTTTGCTCATCCCTACCTTGCGATCAAGGAAGCCAGAGCTCATGCTGGCGGCGGCGGTGGGGGATCGGCAAAGGTGGCGGCGACGGCGGCGGGACCCCCCCACCCCCAGTCCCACGTCGGCCAGAAACGGAGAGGGCTCCTTTTGTACGGCCAATTCAATGGGCTCCTGGGCTCGGGGCGCGATGGCTGAGAGGTCTGCTCCAGATCCTGCCCGCGCCGGGTGCGCCTCGCCTCTCCCCGCTTCGCCTAAGGCGCCTGCAGGAGCATCGCGGACGGGGGTCCCACCCGCGCCCCCCCCCCCAAGAGCGGCTGCAGCCGAGCGCGGGCTCCGCGTCCACAATGGAAGAGGCGGAGGCGCGGGAGCGAGCAGGAGCAGGAGGAGGCCGCTTCCAGTAGCAGCAGCAGCAGCAGCACCGCCAGCAGCTACCTCTGACCCAGGAAACTCAATGCTGGAAGGCTGACCCGACCAGACAAAGAAAGGAGCCTGGCGCCGGCGATGCCAGAGCCCCCTAGTGGGCGCAGCCTTGGCAGCGATGGTCCGTGGCGCCTTGGTTTGCTTTTCTGCCGAGGGGACGCGGCGGCGGCGGCGGCGGCGGCTGTTGCGCCACGCTCATTTCCCTGCCTCTGCGCTCCCTGCAGACATTGTCCCGCAGTAGCTGCTGGGGCGTGAGTGCCCGGCTGCTTTTTGGGAAGGTGAATGCAAGCCTCTCTTTGCGCTCAGCTGCCATCGCGTGGCTTGAGGAAGAGGGTCAAAGGCTGGCTGGGATGTGAGCATCCTGAAATGCCGGCGTCTGGATCAGGCCAGTGGTCCATCTATAGTCCGGCACCCTGACCTCACAAACCAGATGCCAGCAGGAAGCCAAGGAGCTGAACGTGAGCTCAAGCGCACGGGGGTCCCTCAGGGCGCACAGATGCAAAAGGCAGCAGGACTCCTGTGCCTCCCACACAACTATTAAGGGTGCCTTCTTTTTCTCCTTAGCACCAAAGATCTCCTTGCATTCCTCCTCTCCTCCTTCCCACCTTCCGTTCAAGACGCCAGAGGCCTCCAGCTCTGGCTGCTTTCATCACTCCTGATGCTATCTGCGCACACATGATAGAAGCTTATAAGATGGCACGCGTGGCGTGGGGAAAGTGGAGAGAGAAATGTTTCTCTCCCTCTCTCATCACACTGGAACTCTTGAACGTCCAGTGGCAGGATAGCTCAGCTAGTTAGTGCCTGGTGCTGATAATTCCCAGGTTGCAGGTTCGATCCCGGTAAGGGACAGCTGGGGGCTGGACTAAGATGATCCTCAGGGTCCCTTCCAAGTCCACAAGTCTGTGACGTCTATGGCTGGAAGATAAAATAAAGCCCTTCTTCACACAGCGCATAGTTAAACTGCGGAACTCATTGCCACAGGAGGTGGCAAGGGCAGCTAATCTGGATGGCTCCAAAAGAGGATTAGAAAAATTAACAGGAAGAATGGGCTATCAATAGTCCATGCTCTGCCTTGAAAGGTCAGAGGCAGCAATGGTTCTGAATACCAGTTGCTGGAAAACCACATGAAGGGAAAGTGCTGTTGTGCTCAGAACCTGCTTGATGGTTTGCCACAGGCATCTGGTTGGCCACTGTGAAAACTGGATGGGCCACTGGGTTCTTATACATTTTTGGCATCAACCACTCAAATGACAAATTAACGAGAGGTTGATTGATTCTCTCCAGAGGTCAACTTCTCTTAACCCAGGTGGTTAAGAAAGCCCAACAGAGACTCCATCTCCTCAGAGTATTGCGAAAGAACAATGTCAATCAACATTGGATTATCTCCTTCTATCGGTCCACAATAGAAAGTGTCCTTTCATACTGCATCACGGTGTGGTACACTGGTTTGACATCAACTGATAGGAAGTGCCTACAGAGGGTGGTGAATACAGCACAAGATATGGGCTGTCCGGTGAATCCACTGGACGACACTGTGGAAGAACGTTGCCTCAGAAGAGTGAGGAAAATTATCAGGGATGATTCACACCCTGGCCGGCACTTTCTTGATCTCCTGCCCTCGGGCAGAAGATATAGAAGCATGATTAGTCACACCAACAGGGTAAAAAACAGCTTCTACCCGTGGGCTGTTAGGCTGCTGAATGAAAAGATAACAACAGGGCAACTGTTTTGGGTTTGGTGGGTGTGCGTCAGTAAACGAGGGGAATTAAAACTAAGAGAGCTGACTGGGGGTGCTCGTGTAATCTCACTGTATACAAGTTGTACAAGTGAAAATAAAGTATTTCAATTTCAATTCAAACTTTATGTTACTTGCAGAAACATGTACCAGCAGATGTACGGAGGGCGGATACTTGTGGCAGGGCCTTTTCAGTAGTGGCACACTCAAAATCTAAACAGCATCTCAATAAAGGTGTGGTTGGTCGCTTTGTCAGTGAACAGTGTGCATTTAAGTCTTTTAAAGGACTTTGCCATTTATTTATTTTCCTTGTGTTGTTTATCCTTTTGTATAGCTGCCAGCTGCCTTGAATACAACAGATCTGGGATGGGGAACCTGGTGGTCCTCAAATATGGCCCAGTGGTCAGGGATGATGGGAGCTAGAATCCTACAACTTTCAGGGGCCAAAGATTCTCCTACCCTGGTGAAGAAAGTGGGAAACAAATGAATGCCACATTGGGAGATTTTGAATGGAAGAGCAATATTGGAACAGGCCAATTGTCCACTAAAAAATGGCCTTCCCTCAGGGCCCCTGGTCCTTTTTATTCCTCAAGAGGATTCCAAAAACAAAGGACTGTTTACTGAATCTGTTTACTGCAAGTTTACTGTCCCAATGGGCTGCAGCTTCCACTGTAGGTTTTGAGTTCTTCACTGGCCGATAATTTCACAAGACATGTAGTTGCAGGTACCTTTTACGTAAGGCTTGTTTTGAAAATCAAACTCATAATGGCTTCCCCTCCACACACTCAAAATCATGCCTCTCTCATTCCCTTGTGGGGAGAAAAACAGCTGGATGTGGTTTTGAGTGTAAAACCCTTAACAGCAAATTACAATTTCTAGGTTTATCCAGAAGCTTTCTGCTTTCCCTGGGCCAAGCAAAATCCACTTGTTTGTTAGAATAAGGACATTGATATGCAGTATCCTCTGCCCAGAAGGTTTGTCCCCCACTCTGTCCCCAGTAAGCCATGTTAGATACTTGGAGAATTTAACTATCCCCATAGTTTTCACCTCACAGAACTACAATTCCCAGCCTTCTTAACACACTATCATTCCCAGGAACCTTTGGAGGCAAGAATGTGCTTTCAATGTATGGGGAGGAATTCAATACAAATAATAATAATAATAATAATAATAATAATAATAATAATAATTTATTATTTATACCCCACCCATCTGGCTGGGTTTCCCCAGCCACTCTGGGCGGCTTCCAACAAAAGATTAAAAATACATTAAAACATCAGTCATTAAAAACTTCCCTAAACATTCTGATTATCTTTTCGCCTGCACATTTCTGTTTGTCTGACAGGGGCACTCCTCATCTCCTCATACATACAGGTCTAGTGGTTATCCTGACCCACCAGAGCATATTTGGGGGAGGTGCAGAGATGCATAGGGGGAAGCCCCATTGTCTAATTGTGTGCCCTTGCATTGGTTTCAACTGGCACACCAAGCTAGCTGAATCCAGGCCATGGTGTGTATGCCAGCCTAGGCCTCATGACTTGGTCAACATCATTATTCAGTCACTTCCTTCAGCAACTGCAACTGGGATTTCCTGGCACCCTGCCTCCTATCAGGAAGTAGCAATGCACACACTTTGCCAGGTTCCTTTCTATTGTCCCCTCAAGCGGTTCCAGTCTTGTCCTCTGGCAACACAACAAGGCACGAGTCTTCTGCATATACCACCCCCTTCAGATATTTAAAGAAAACTATCAGGTATCCCCTCAATCTTCTCCAAGCTGCATATTCGCAGCTCTTTCGACCCTTCATCGTAAGACTTGGTCTCCAGACCTCTCTCCTAATTCTGGTCAACCTCTTCTGGACCACACTCTAGCTTGTCAATATCCAGAGTGAAAGATGAATGGAGTTCAACAAGTCGCAAAAAGTACGACAAGGACATTCTCCAAGGACCAAAAGATTGTTTATTTTTTTTAAATACCTATTCGATTTATGATGAAACCTAAAGCTCCACACCTTGGTTTCTTAGAAATCTGAGCTAGATTGGAAAATAAACCAGCTCCATGTATTTTACAGTTTTTGGTGTTTTTTTTTAAGTTTCCACCTTCTAATAAATAAGCATACTCATGGAGAAAACCGCTCAGAGGAAAATTTGCCCAACGCATAGTGTTGGTTACCAAAAGTAAGGGCCCATTTGCACTAAACATTTAAACCAGCGTCATACCATTTGCAGCAGTCATTGTTTCCCCTAACGTTCCTGGGAGTGCTAGTTTGACCAGGGTGCTGAGACCCCCCATCCCCCTCACAGCGCTAAACCAAAGGTTTGTGGGCCAATCCCCCTTCCTAGGAAGCCTTGGGAACTGCAGTTGTGAGGGGAATGGGGGGGGTCTCCTTTTGAAAAAACAGTTTCATACTTCCTTCATAATTTTAGAGAAATTACCGTATTTTTCGCTCTATAAGACGCACCAGACCACAAGACGCATCTAATTTTTGGAGGCGGAAAACAAGAAAAAAAATATTCTGAATCTCAGAAGCCAGAACAGCAAGAGGGATCACTGCGCAGTGAAAGCAGCAATCCCTCTTGCTGTTCTGGCTTCTGGGATAGCTGCGCAGCCTGCATTCGCTCCATAAGACGCACACACATTTCCCCTTACTTTTTAGGAGGGAAAAAGTGAGTCTTATAGAGCAAAAAATACGGTATGTCATCGTGTCAAACGGCTGATTCATAGCAGTCTCTGAATCTAAAATGTACAGCTAAATTTAAAAACACCAAAGGGCGGCAGGGGGGTGTTGGTCTTGTCGTTGATTTTCTGACAGCTGGTCTAAAACCCAAAATGCATCAAGCCATTCTTTATTTTTATTTCTGATGCTGCATGGAGAATGCCAACTGCTTTGTTGCTACATATGGGCACAAGGCATGAACCCAAAAAAGGTCAAAGGTAATTTATTGGAAATTTTATGCCACAGAACGGTCTCTTCTTACAGAAATTCCTATTGAATGCCTGAGTATAACATATAAGCACCGGCTAATTATGGAGGAATGAGAAATGGTTAAAGAAAACCATTGATCAGGCCCGGTGGAACAAACCCAAATAAATACATGCCTGCCATAGAGTTTACCATGAGTGGTCTTCCGGAGTGGCGCCATCGGCAATGGCGGACTCCCTCTGATCTGGAGGGACTAGCTCCACACGAAACGGGTCTTTTCCGCTACGGCGAAGCGGGGACCCTTTCAAAAATCACAGGCGGATGAAGCCTGTGACCATGGGACTCGGCGGGCACCTTTAGCGCCCCCCCAACCCGCAAAAGAACCCACTAACGGGCTCCGGAGCGAAGAGGGGGAAGTGGCGCGGTGCTGAGAGTCAACTGCTTCTTCCGTGGAGCGAAGCCGCACAGCCGTTGCCGGAGAGCGCTGCCTTTCTCCTGGGACAATTTGGCTTCTAAAATAATCACCCGTGAGTACTTAAATTCCGGACAATTGGACTTTAAATAAGGACTTGCGAGCAGAAAGGAAAATTGGACTTAAAAGTTTACCTCAATTTGGCACTGAAATGGGAAGGTCTAAACAGGAAGTCAGCCTTCCG